GTGTCCAGTAATCTTCTTCTCTGAATCTACAATTTGGTGATGGATCTGGGCATTGTATGTTTTTACCCTGTTTCCCCTTCCCTTCTGCTCCCTCACCCATATTGTGCTTCAGTCGTTATATTTATATTTTTAATGTACCAAACATACCAAGTTTGTATGAAAATGTGACTATTTTCTGTGCTGGTCAATGACCGAAATAAATGATTTGATTTGGAGAAAATGCTATTATTTTTTTCTTCAGACTACACAACAAGTTGCATTGATGTCTTTAATCAGCCTTTTGTGATAAGAAGAATGATGGAAGCAGAAGCAAAACACACAAGGGTTATGAGTGGAAGATGTCAGGACATCCCCAGCTTAACCCATAAACCCATCATATTCTATGAATGAGGGAAGACTGTGTCACAACAGAAGTCTTATTTGGAAAACTAGTCAGACCAATGAATGAGCCAACAGGGCTGCCATACTCATTTGAAATCTGGTCCAGAGAAAAATGCCACAAATCATCACAAGAATGGGATGGTACCTCTGCTTTAAAAAATCACACAAAAATGAAATATCTATGGAAAGGCTTAAATTGAGAAAGCAATACATTAAATTATCTAGATGAAGAGAAGGGATTCAGTAACTGCTAATTTAAGACAACATTGATGTCTTCTGGGCTTCATGAAATCTGGGAACACAAGTAGTCCCTGGAAGCCTGTCAGTAAATTCATTCTCCAACATCAAACCAAGCATGATCACCAGTAACAAAACTACATGGTGGGCTTTTTTTTTTTTTTTTTTGACAAAGCAGTCAAAGACAACTCTGAAAGTCTAAACAATCAGAGATTTCTAAGGAGGTGTATCTGGAAAGGAAAAGGAAAAACCAAAACAGTGGAGGATTTATGAACAAGAGATGCTGGTTGCAACAGTGAAGTTTTCAAGCAAGAAAGTATTACCGTTAAGTATATGCAGATGATAAAGCTTTTGTAACTTAAAACAAGACCACACTTTTCTCTGGGCCAATTATTTTTGATATATCTTAGTCAAAAATCTGAAGATCCCTCTTTGACAAATATTATGATTTAATGATTTAATAGATGCTTTTGAACTGTGGTGTTGGAGGAAAGTTCTGAGAGTGCCTTGGACTGCGAGAAGATCCAACCAGTTCATCCTCCAGAAAATAAAGCCCAACTGCTCATTGGAGGGAAGGATACTAGAGACAAAGCTGAAGTACTTTGGCCACATCATGAGGAGACAGCAAAGCCTAGAGAAAACAATTATGCTGGGGGAAGTGGAAGGTAAAAGGAAGAGGGGCCGACCAAGGGCAAGATGGCTGGATGGCATCCTTGAAGCGACTGGACTGACCCTGAAGGACCTGGGGGTGGTGATGGCCAACAGGGAGCTCTGGCGCGGGCTGGTCCATGAGGTCATGAAGAGTCGGAGACGACTGAACGAATGAACAACAACATGATTTAATGCTTATTCAAACAACTCTAAAGCAAAGAGTCTCTTCTAAGTAATGACTTCAGCTTCACCATGCCCACAAAATGAGTCTATAATGAAGGTTTTCCATTCCTGGGCAAGGTAAATACAGAAAGGTACACACACTCATTACCATTCCAGGGAATTGGAAATAAACAAAACTCTGAGAATGTAGATGAGGGTGCTTAAAATTCACACCAATGAATTGTGGTAGAACCATTTGAAGAAAAAATGTTCAAGAAACTCCAAATAGATCAATGTCAACCCTTTGCTCAGACACAGACGCAAAGAAAAAGATCATGCACTTGTGAAAATGTGAGCTGTAAGGGTACAGAAACAAATTACCAGTAGATAATGTGACCCAATCTCATTGATAATATTGTGATAATTTTATTGTTGCATGGGATCTGTGATAGCATTAGCAAATGTCTGGCTGTCTTGATTATGTCAGCAAGATGAGCATATGTGTGCATACCTTCAAGTTGCCTTCTCTACCATACTCAAGTATACCATGATGTTGTCTAATTAACAAAGATCCCATCTAGTTTCCCTTTCACTCTTTATTTCCACCACATTCTCTAGCAGTTGTTTTCCCTTTTCCATATCTAGACATTTCTGAACTGTCCTTTCTCTCCCCGCCCCATCTGCACTGTCTTTGATGCAGTTGATTGTCTTCTCTCTCTTCACCTCACTCTCTCCATGATCAGTTGATTGTTTCTCTTCTGATCAATTACATATCTATTCCTACCAATGCTTCCACTGGGAGTTACTTTTCTCCAACTCCAGAAATTTCTGTTAATCTTTCTCTACATCCTTGGTTTTAGACAGCCTCATCAAATCTTATGACTTTCAATACTACTTTAAACGCTCACTCTATTATCATTCCCCACAATCTAGTTCTACATTTGCTATTGTGTATGTGACAGTTTCACTTAGATATACTTCTGCACAATGTTTTTAATAACTGACATTTTACCCTTTGTTTAATCCCCTCCAAAGGCTTCTTTTTCATTCCTTTGTCTCTTTTCCTTCAAACTGCAGGGCAAAATCTCCCTCTGCCATAAAGCTTCTGTTTTAACCCCCATCATTGTATGTTGCAGAAACTAAGCCCAAGTACAAGTACTTGTACACATCCCTTGCTGCTTTTGCCACTACTTTTGCCCTTGGCTTTTATCTACTTCCACATGTACACAGTTAGGTCACTACTGGACACACATGGAGACTTGGAAAGCAATTCTGTTTCCTCTCAAACCTCATGAAGACCACATGCAAAAGCCAGAAAGGATGCTACAATAACTCCTTTTGATATTTTAGGGTTCTCTGAGGATATTTCCTCAGACAATAACTGATGGCTTAACTGAAATTCCCAGATATGACTCCTTTTGCACATTTCTTTGGATTGGAGGCATTTGGCAGGTTCCCACATGCCGTATACAGTAACATGCGATATGATTTCCACCACTTGTAATTATAAGCTCCTTGGAGTAAACAGCTAGAAGTCACTCTGTCTAGTGTCCTACACAGCCAAAATCCTATTGCTAATAATGCTATTGCCTCTGTTGCTCTCTCAGGAATGGCAAGATCTAGTTTTAAAGACTGGGTCTACTTTTTGAAACATTTAATATCTTACACTTTGGAATAAGGAGCTCACACAGAGTTAAAGTAGATATGATATATTAAAACAATACTATCCAAAGAACATGATTACACAAATATCTGGATTACATCACAGTACTTGTTTTACAGAGCAGATTTTATTTGAAACGTTAAAAAGGTCAATAGCATCCAAAATCCACAAGGGAAGCACCTGTTTTTATAACCCATGTATGAATTATAAAATAGCTCACAAAAGAAAGAAAAGCAGTTTCTGGATTATTGTTATTATTATTATTATTATTAATCATCACATGTTCAATTAAATACATTTAGTTAGCATGGGAATCGTATGATACATAGATAGTGTGGGAGGAGAGAAAAAGGAAGAAATTAAAGATGAAAAATATCCATTTACAATAACAAACCCATCCTATCAATCACACAAGACAGAAAACAATGACTCATGCCAAAAACTGGAAGAGTTACAAGGTGAACAAAGAGATGAGGAGAAATGTGTGACTTTTAACAGATGTCACAATATTATTTTCCAGCTGCTACAGCCTCCAACAGACACAATCTTTTGCATACAGAAATCAGCAATATGTTGAATGTTTTCTGTATTTCTGAATGTAATATGGTCTTGGCCTCTGAGGTGAAGAAAAGGTCTTCTAAATATCACTCCCCGTTTTTCTCTGTTGCCTGATAGAATTGGAACCTCCCATAATCTTTTGAGTCCATGTTTGTGTTCAGTGGTGTTGCCACTGACTTGCTTGCATGTGTTAAAATTAGCATTAAAAAAAAACACTTCTAGAAAATTTGTCTTACCCATGCAAATCCACAATGATGGATGTGAGATACAGGAGATTGACTTGGCCACAATCTCTGCTATACACCTAATGAGTTTTTAGAAACACAGCCATCTCTTCATACACCAATTCCCAGATTAAAAGGCAGTCATACAAAAGACAAGTGCCGTTCCTGCACTAACTAGTTCTAAATAATGGTGTCCATTTATGATTAATGGCCTCAAATAAATGGAGCAAGAATGTGAAAGCAAGAATGTGAAAGCCAAGGGAGTGTGCATACAGTTGTAGTCCCATCAACTATTTTGGTGTGGAAGTAGATGCAGAGAAGTGAATCCAACTCCCCTTTTCGCAAATGGTGGGATTATAGCACCAGTTTAGACACTGAATGATGTCGAAAAAGCATACAAACTATTATCTTTCACCAGATATTTGTGCTTACACCTCCCAATATATACCGAGAAAACGTGTCACATGGAAGGTGAATCAGACTGCAGGTAGCTGAATGTTAACCCACAATATTGTTGAAAGAACAGAATGTACTATGCCACATATTTACCAAATGAAGAGGGAATAATATGACTGAACTGCACGAAAAGGCACTGAGAACTTGCTAAACACCTTTGAACACAAAACATTATCATTAACCAATAGCAAATCCACCCAGATCTTCTTATAGTTAAGTGGCCAACCACAAGGTCAAACTGACTCAAATTCCTTATAACCCCTGTTTACTACTTTCTGTGTGACCATCTGATTTCTAGCACAAGATTCTACCCATGCCCTCAATCAACATGAGCCAATCCCAGGGGGAAGTAGGGCTCAGTATTTGAGTATGGGATATCTCTCAGTGTAAAACAAGTTCTAATCTGCCTTTTATTGCAGTGCTTCCAGCAGAAAGAATGAAGGAAGAGGGAGCAATACTCTTTGAAATATCAGTGTGATGGCTCAAGAGATAGAACTTCTGGAACAGTGCAACGGAGATGTGATTCCTCCACAGATAAATGAAGAAGGCAAAAATCTGCTCCCCCCGCTACTTCCCCGAGTCTGTTGGTTTGAAAGCACTCCACTGAGCCAAAAGGTAAATAACATTGTGACACCCCAGACAAGTTGGATTAACAGGTAGCTTGTTACCTGGGAGAGTAAGAGCGCCTGAAAGTCTTGTGAGAAGGAGCAGCGGGGATGGAGTTAGGCTGAAAAAGGGGAGGAGGGTGCTTCGAGAGCCCATCCGCACTCCAACCCCATAAACGACTGCAGTGATCACAAGAAGAAAATAGAGAAAAGAAGAAGGAAAACAGAAAAGGGGAGAAAAGAAAACTATAATCTGAGTGGCTGAGTCTTTTCATGCTTTCTCAGCAAGAGAGAAACTTAACAGAAACAAGTCAGACTGGAATACTCCATTTATTTGCTTTACATAAAGATATTGCATCTAATATCAAAAGTTTTTTTAGGAATTTTAGGACAGTTGTTTCTATTTCCATATTTTACAATGTAAATGAAAGGTGATATCCTGCAATAAAATCAGTAAAAAATTGCTCGCTGATGTTCTTTTGGTAGTGATTTCTACTAATTTAGGCTAGCAAAAGTCTTGGTAAATATGATTTTGGAAGAAATTCATCTTATGAACAAAATGTAACATCTAAGAGAGTTCCACAGCTAGGAAATGCTGCTGTTCAACAGATTCTACATATACACTTCAGATAAAACTTGGTGTATCCCCAACAACTCTTATTAGCATTGTTGGTTGTTTTACAACATACTCAATGAAAACAGTAAATCTTTATGGTCAATGGTTATGCTGAAGTCTTGTGGGTCTTCTAATCCATGGTCTCAGTGATTGTTTAAATACACTTCATCCAATAATAAGCCTACTGGCAGTCTCAACTAAAAAAAAAGTTGGACGTAACTGGACCATAAAGATCTGGGAAGCCCAAAATGGCAAAATAAAAGCAAAGCTACCATGCCTTTTTCTAATAATGACTCTAATTTGGTTCTATCATCCAGAGCTATTGCTCTTGATAATTCAAAAATAGCGAGATCCTAAGCAACATTCTGCTGTCTGGCTTCATTTTTACCAATACAGCTGGTTACAGAAGGCTGAAGTCCTTCATGCTTTCGTTTCTTATACATCCTTAGCACCTGCAAAGCTTCACGAAGGCAGAAAAATATTATTCTATGCCTTATAATTCATTGTTTTTTTCTTCCTACTAGTTTTTCCTGTCATCTTTCTGTTCAAAATGTCAAAAAAGATAATTCTGGGACATCAGAAAGATCTCAGTGACATTTGTCTCCGTATTCTTCCTTATTTTAATTATTCAAGTCTTCTCATCAATTTTCAATGTGAGGTTGCCATGCTAGTTTCTTGCTTCTGTCAGTTGTAACTCAAGGTTAATTCGAAAGCTGTATCTAAACCCACAGTTAGAGATTAACACCAAACATCTTAGCCCCGTCTAGGAGGCTTAATCTAGTAATATTTCCTGTAATGCACCATCTTGTGGAAAAGCTGTAGAGAGAACTTCCCATCTCTGCTAAAGTAACCAAAACAGAATAGATGTTTGGGTTGTAGAACTAAAATTATTTCTGTGATTGCTGGAGTCTTCAGTCTTTTACTTTGTTTCTATTGAGTTTTAAGTAAGTTATATAGGCAAAGATCACACTGGTGTACAAATAAATGAAAAATGCTGCAAGACTGGAAATGGAAAGTCAGAAATAAATCTGCCATATGCCCTTTGTGAGCAGCATTCTCAGGAAGGTCACTCAAGAAAAGAGTAAGAAATAGTAATTATATTTGCAAAATATGGCTTCATCCAAATAGGAAACTGAAGGACAAAAGAAAAACTATGAATTCCATTCTCACCTACCTGTGAAATGGTCATCCCAAAACATGCAAACCCAAATTTCCATATAGATGGGCAAAATGTGACCAACTCACTGATTCTACTAAATGACAATCCTACAAGTTTGCACCTTTATAACCCAAAAACAGACCTTTCAGGCAACTTTTTGACAATTCAATTTGAAGCAGTATCATTTATTAGAGTATTCCCAAGAAATGTCAGTTTAAAAGTCCCAAAGTAGTTCAGATACAGTGCAAGACATTTGTTTCATTATTTCATTTCATTCATTCATCTGTTTCCATAGTTCTGTTTCTAATATAGTGATTCAGGATTGCAGGAAATAAAAATGATTGAAAAAAACAAACAAACCACAGCGAAGGAAAGCTAGAACAAAGCAAACCACAAAACAGCTACTGAAGAGATAATACATAAAAATATACTTGACATTATTAGCCTGCAGCTCTGTATATGAGCAATGTCTAGATGTGTGTAACCTAACCTAGCATATTTAAAGCAGGACTAACTACATTTAGGACTCCTCTATATAGGAATTTAGATTACTGAATCACCAAGAGCATTTCAAATCTTGGGATTTTTGACATTTTTTAACATATGATAATGCTTATTTTATGCATGTTTCGACTTTATAATTTATTTGAATTATGAATAAATAATTTATACATAAACTAAGATTATTTATTTTGCTTTCCTCACATCTGTAATGTAAAAGTAATACAGAGAGCTAAAAAGTTATATGCAGAGCTCATAATAAACATTCTATTTAAACCCAGCATAAACACCCTATACTGAAAGATGCTAAAAAGACATATTCAGGCTGCAATCCTATATGCACTCATTGAAGGGGAAGCTTCAATGACACTATGTCTAGATAAACATATCTAAGATAATGCTGTATGGTAGGAGTGGAGAAGATGTAGTTAGCAAACCATATACCGCTTCTCCTAAGGTTGTCTTTTAAGCCTCAAGGAACTGTCACTTATGATTTTTTTTTAAAAAAAATGGGCCCAAATCTCATCTTACTACCAAATTATTTGGGGGGGGGGGTTTCTAATGTTTATGATCCGTGTGCATTGATTAAGGCCTAATACATGCTTTTAAAACTAAAGTGGTATGTAAAACTCTAAAACAACAAACAGGTGTTTGTTAGGAACGTACAGCATGGGGTAAGCTGCTCTGAATCTCCTTGTGCAGAGAAAAAGTGGAATATAAAGAAATAAAATAATAATAATAATAATAATAATAATAATAATAATAATAATATCATCAACATTCCATGAGTGCTCCAAGAAAAAAAAGTTCTAAGTGATCCAAACAGGACAGCCAAAACATTGTATAATAAGATCAACAACATCTTCAACACTCTAAAGACTTCTTGTTTGTATTGCTTAAAACTTGGGTATTTACACTTTTATGAGCATGAGCCAAAATACATAAAGTGTTTGAAAACCACCAATCCAAATAAATATACCTGTGTGACAAACATCACACAGGTATATTTGGTATATGGTACAAATTTGATATCAACCTTGATAAGTTCAGGAAGACATGTGACTTCCCACTCCAATGTGTTTTGTTTTCATTGGTCCTAAACTGGGATTCAGTGCTTTAGAAAACTGTTATTTTCTGAACATACAAAACTGCCTGGTATTGGCCATCCAGCTCCATACAATCTAAAGGGTAGCAGTTGCTATTATGGGCTCACACAAGTCTTTCCAAACAATATTAAATCAAAGGCATGCACTCCAGCAGTGAATTGTAGCACCTCCTCAAACTAAACTCAAACAATACCCAATTCATCCTTAGATTCCATGAAATTCTGGCTTATACGAAATACAAACACAATCTCTGGATCAACACACAAATAAACAGCACCAAAAATAAACAAATAAATAATAAATCCTATTTCTTGAGATTCCCTTGGTTATTTGGATCATACTTAAAATAAACAAATAAACCAAGCAATAATGCAAAAAACAACAACAACAACAAATCAAAAATACAATACAAAAATATGCATGGAAACATTATCTAGAAGAATGGATAAAGTGTTTACATATATATACCTGCAATTCAATGATATAAATGCTATCTTGTTTTTTTCGACATGGGCTTAAAAACAAAGATCTAGTATTTTGTGCTACTAACAAGGACAGCTTAGCATTATACTGCAGTATAGATTAGCTTTATTTTCTGCTCAACTTTCACAGCTAAGGAAATGTATACTATAATATACATTCTAAACAAACATATTTTAATAAACTATTTGTCATGTTTTATGGCAATCTTTTAATTAAACTACATTACCTTGGAGATAGTCCTCCATGTGAACAGTTGGTAGGTGAAGTTAAGGGGCTGGTTCTGCTGCTGGGATGACGTGAAGGAGTTCGGCCAACAGTATTGCTAGGGGAACCCTATTAGATAGCCAAGCAAGAGAAGAGGAGAGGAGAAGGGGACAAATGAAGGGAAGAAGGGAGAAAAATCAAACATATGGAAGAAAGATTTCCATATATCATTTATACCTTATACATTGTATGACTTACACAGAGTCCATTTTTATTAAGAACGTGTCTGTGAAGCATCTCAGTAACAGCTTAAATATCAATGGCTTCAAGAAATTGTCAGTTTTTAAGAAAACATAGGTAAGGCCTGGGTGTGTTTCAAGAGTTTAGAAACAACAGAAATGGCATTCCAACAACAAAAACTAGCTTATCCTTCAAGCCAGTTGTTCACTTGCTTCTCTTCTCCAATTCCAGTCCTCTCATTTCTCCCAACCATTGCCATTCAAATTCACCTTACCCTATTTCACCAAGAGCAGTAGAGGCAACTGCAAGGGGGGGGGGGCTCTCCGATCCTCCTCTGTGGAATACTAGTTGCTAGACAGAAAGACTGTCACTAACCCCCTTTTCACAAGACTTTGTCTTAGAACACTGACATGCAACACACCAGGCTGTGGAGGCAGAGGGATGGTGGATAATGAGATTTCTTTCCTTGTCCTTGAAGCTAGACTAAGATGCTGCCATTACTCCTGGCCTGGGTTTAATAAAAAGAGTATATAATTGATAATAATGGAATTAAACTTGAAATTCTTCTCTGGTTTGGATTGCACCTCGAGTATAGGGAGACTTTAACTTTTAATGCTAAGCCAAAAACTGACACTTGAACTTATTTATAATAGTGACAACTACAATGTTTAAAAGCAATCTTGGTGCTACCCAATAAAGCTGCATATTTTAAGACAGATGTGACTAGTAGCTTGTACATGTTTTTGTTTTGAAGGAAAAGCTGCTGACAGTCTTACCACGCTAGTGTTACTGGAGTTCTTGAGGTGGTTGTGTAGTAGCCGGGTAGCACCATCCTGGAATGTTTTTGGCAAGGCACCAAGTAACATAGTAAACTCAGGAGTGTTCAGTTCAAATAGAGAAATGAGGACTATTTGTGCTGCCTAGGAAGAAAAAGACAAACAGCCAGTCAGCAACAGGGCCATTTTTAAACATCCACTTAAGTCTTATTGGGGAAGTGTCTTACCAAGTACCAAGGAGAACTCAAGAGTGCAATTCAGAGCCATTAATAGGGTTTACCATAGGCTTCAACTGGATGTGAAGAATATTGTACATTCCAAATATTGGAATCAGTCCATTGAATACATTGCAAGTATTGCAGTCAAAGATAAACAAAGCACTTTTCAGGTCAATGAAATGCTTTGTGTATCCGCTATATATTGCATAAAGGTCCAGTAGTAAAGAGGAATCTTGCCACAATTACAAAAAAAAAATTAAAATAATGTGTATCTCACAGCTTTGTAAGATACAATGGATTATTCCTTAGAAGCTGTCTGTACATTGTTACACCTCTTCAAAAATCCTTTGGCAAGCTTGTTTTAGGCTTTTAACCAGCTGAACTGTGGACCTGCATCCTGCAGTTCACAACTCAATGGAACTGCATTTGTCATGCACTTTACTGCTCAAGTCCAAATATATCATCTTTCTTAAATAATAATAATATCTGGTTTTGCAGATTCCAATACATGCTGTGGACTGGATGGCCCATGAGGTCTCTTCCAACTCTTTGATTCTATGATTCTATGAGTGCATATTCAGAAGAAAGTCCCACAGAGTGAAAGAAGACTTCCTCCTTAGTCTGATCTCATAGGACTGCAGCCATAAATACTTCCCCTATTTTGATATGTTAGCCACACATTGTGACTAGTGTGACCGTTCTGTCCTTATGTAGACTTTCAGCTGTACAAAACCTCTCCAAGCATTCATGCATTTAGCAAATGTGGGCTAGACTGTAGTCTTGTAGACAGTGGATCTTGCTCTGGGAAAAGTAACCCATAGCTAACATCACCATTAAAGTGCCAACTCCTTTCTTGATTACATATACTAATGAAGTCAAATTTTCAGCAGCTCGATATGGGGAAAACTGTTAAGACTCAGTGTCTGAATTATAACTTTTTCCACTTCAAGGAAGCAAAGCTTGTCAGAAGTAATTGTTTCTTTTGGATGCAAAATCCTAACTGGCCCCTCTTTCCTCTAAGCAGAACATCTTCCAGCTGTGTAGGGAATATCCAAGACAAGATACTCCTGTCCATCTTATTCTGCATGACTGTAGAACATTAATCAAAGTGTACATTCTCTGAACTGAAAATATTATCGTAAGTCAAAGATCCAAGAAAAGATCAGTTACCATGGTGAGTAAAATAAAAGCAGGGAATCATGCCAAACTAGATTGAGCACTTAGAAAAACCATGCACAACCTTGAATTCTAACTTTAGTTCAGTTAAGAAAACCTACATGCACATCAGTGGTACAAGCAGGGGAAAACAACAGCCAAATTCAAAACATCCAACACCACTTCTCAAGTGTCCAGTTGGTCTGATTCAAAATCAGGCCATTTGCATCAAGGTGAACCCTCCATTCCTAGACTCTCTTAGTCTGCAACAGCTTCTATCACTTCCCAATTCACACTTATTTCCCCTGGAAATACAGTATTATAATGATATCTCTCTAAAACTAATATTCCTCAGGGAGATAATTTGAGTGCTCATGTCATTCTTCAAGTCCAAAGAAGAATGGTATAAACACTTGGGAACAATTTAGGTCATCTGTCTGTATAGTATGGACAAAATTCCTCTGCTCTTTGTCTTCCAGAGGGGTTGTGCTGAGCTAACTTGAATTCCCATTCCACTTCTGGAATGGGAATTTTCAGTCATTTCCCACTCAAATTTGCCATGAATTCATCTGGTATTGCAACTTACTTGCAGCCTCTCTCTTTGGGCTGCAATGGTCTCACTTAACCTAATTCAAAAGGAAATACACACACTCTCTCACACACACACAAAGAGTCACCGCAGTATTTTCTGTCAAACCTTCCCAGTCCACTCCTTTCCTTAAATCTATAATATATTAGAACTCTAGACTGCAAGCAGAGTAATGTCTTATGATTAGTGCACACTACTTTTAGTCTACCTGTTTACACTTCTCTTCCAGGTTTCCTTCACCAGGACCTGACGAAGCTGTGGTTGGTCTAGCAGACATATCCTCACCTACCCAACTATGCATGGTCTGAGTTCAACAAATAGGAAAGGGAACATTGTTTAGCAGAAGCAAGCAGGCAATTTGTAATGATGACCAATATAAAAGAGCAATTATGTATTTTTGCCAGAGCTGCATTTTCAAAGCAGGTGGTAATTCTCCACTTTGAAAACAATGTCATAAAAATTGTCACTCTGATCATGCCTGAGATTTCAGCGACTCTTTGAGTCCCATTTAATATTATTCAAACTCTGCAATTACCAGTGGGCCACTCAATAGTATACTCAGACTTTATATTTTTCTCCATGAATACCCACTGATTAATGCTATTTGACTTTTTTATTATTAGGAAAGGAAAAAAACCATGATTTTTTAAGGACACTTTACTCAGAATTTTTTTGAATTGAGCAAAAGTCACATAAATATCAATTGTTTCCATAAGTCTAATTGTAAAATTCTAAAAATAAGAAAGAAGTTTATATACTCAGAGGTCCTATGGTTTTCAAGTGAAGCCTACTCCCAGGCCGATGTGCACAGGACTTTAGCCTGAAGCAGCAAAACAACAGAAAAAGCAAGCAACCAATCTCAATGTTGATTGGATAGGTTTAGCGCAAGCGTGTTAACAGATTGGGTTGCCATTTTAAAATACCTTCACCTACATATGAATTTCCAAGGAATATCTGAACCTTTTAGAAGATCCACTTAGGCTTAATATTTAGAATACTATGCAGTATTTACTGATTTATTATTTAATAATAATTCATCACTGTTACAAGTTAAATATGGATTAAGCAACTCTGTTTTTGGCAATTAAATTATAGTTTCACCTAATTTTTTTTGGCTAATGGGCATGACAACGTATTGTAGTCATCTGTTCCACAAGAAAGGTTGAGGAGTTTCCATGTGAGTGAAGGAAAAACATGGAAAGAATCTGTGATTTCAAGTCATAATTGTCTGATCAGAAAACTGGAAAGCTTGAGTCTTTACTGAATCTGCCAAATCAAGTTGACTTTTTCAATGAGCTTCCTACAGCAATCCTCAAGATTACTTCCCTACTTTTAGCCAATTTAATATTCATACAGTAGTATTGTCTCCTCCTGTAGGAAGCTCATTGAAACATATCTGATTCACACTGATTCAGGCATTTTGTTGCTTAGTTCTCAGATTTGAAGAGATCCTCTTGGAACTCTTTATGACCTGGTTTAACTGAATATGGCACTAAAAACACGAATCACAAACTTTATCGATGGCAGAAGATCATTCATGAATTATACTACAATAGTCACAGTAGGGATGGCTGAGGGATTCCTTCTCATTGGCTCCCTCTTGCTAGTTTCCATATTCTTGATATTCTGTGTCTTGCCTTCTCCAGCACTTACAGATTGATTTTCTCTCCATATCTGAATTTTGCTTTCAACAATTGCCAAGATGATATTCCCCTTATTTTCTGAACAGCAAAGTTGAGCGATCTTCAGAGCTGACTGATGTAAAATGTAAAGTGTCATTTGTGACACATTTCAATAGCAAGTATGTTATACATGCAGGATGCACACTCTGCATACTGCCCTACTGAACGCCTTTACAAGAGTGTCTGCCTGTACAGAAAGCATGGAAAGCCTTGAGTTCTGCTGCAAAAATGTCAAAAGGCGAAGGAAGAGAAAGCACAGAATGCCATTTTTCAGAGTAAAACCAATATCACAATAATACAAATTAATGTTTACATAGAGGTTTTGTCTCCTTGAAATTAGTTTCAAACCGTTTCTTGTATGGTTTTATGATACTAATATTGTTTCTCTATGAACTTGTTGAACAAGTTTAGCTTTTCAATACAAACTAACAAGTTGTGTACTGAACAGTTAAGATAAAGAGGAGAAGGTTAGGTTGTCTTTTGAGTGCACCACTGTTAGAGGCAGAAAAGGGGTGAAAATGGTCCTGGTATTCCTGATACACTTTCTTGGGAAGTTCACTTAATTAATTATATTTTAGGGACCAGATAATTTTCTTCTATTCCCTCAGATCTTGTACATATTGTACTTTTGTGAAGGTCTCTTCCAACTGCTAGGTCCGTTGCTGCTCTGATTCTTAATATCGCTGGTTCTATTTAAAATCAATATGCTGTACACCATCCTGGAATCAAACACTTTCAAACAAACAAATATTGGTCCCATTTTTATTTAACCAGAAGCATGAACTCCTTCTGGTATGTTATGGTGGATTACTGAACCATGTCTTCAAATGATACTGTTTTCTGAATAAAGCACTAATTTGGCCATCTATTAGCACAAAGATGTTAATGTCTCACTGATATCCAAACAGTTATGTTCTCAAAGACAAAATACAGATTGATCTGATGTGATAAATTCAGATACAAGCTTTCAACAATCCCAGAGTAGCATTGACTGTTTCTTTATACCAGGAGAAGCATTCACCTGAATAGACTTCTTGTGAATGTTGCTTCAGTCCAAAGAAAACAGGGAATGCAATCCTATGATTTTGGAAGGCTGTTCATGAATTTCAGCTAAAGAAGGGGGAAGGAGGCATTTTTTGACAATTGTCATTTCTCTTTTTCAGAAAGTCCCTTTCAATGCAGAAACAGAGGGGTAAATCTATGAAAACTGTCTTTTCAATGATTTACTAACAGCAATATTCTGATGGGTAACTACATTTAACAAAATGCAAATTATGGCTCCAAGTCAGTATATATCTCGATGTTGATCTATTTCACAATTATTGTAATTGTTTAAAATAAAACCATCATCTCTTCACATTATTTTCACTCACCTTTCTCACATCTGAGCTCTTTGGTTCTGTAGTCCAGGTAATAATCCTGGAAACTGCAAGTTTTGCTTCACTGGAGTTTACAAAATCTGTGGGGTCCATCTGTCTGGCCAATGATTCAATGTACTTCAGGATTGCTACTTTGACCTACAGAGAGTAGAGCACTCCTATAAGTAAAAAGTAAGATCCCAATCCATAAAGCTCAAAATCCTTCCCTCCTCACACCTAGTAACTTAGGTATCATTTATGAACTGCAGAAAACTAGATTTTCTGATAGCCTTTAAGTATATCCACTGAATAACATACAACATTTCCAACTTTTCTGTTGTCAAGAATTAGGATCACTTTGTTCTTAAATGTAAACACTTTATAATGAAATACAAAGACATTATTTACCTTAAGGTTTGGTGTTTGAGTTTGATCTACAATAAATCTCATCAAAATATTAAATTGCTGATCAAAAGGAAAGGAATCCCTAGAGTGGAAAGAACAGAGAGGAAAGCGTGACAACACATTCTATTACCACCTGCAAGATATAGCCAGAAGCCAAAACACAGACTGACATTACGTTTAATCAACATTACATTTTTTTTGTCCGTGATTAAAAATATAGACACTGGCAGTCCCCATGTTATGAATAAGATAGGTTCGTAGGTTCGTTCTTTTGTTGAATTTGTTTGCAAATCGGAAGAGGTACATTTTTTTCAATGTACAGTAGAGTCTCGCTTATCCAATCTTCACTCATCCAAAGCTCTGTATTATCTCACACAGACTGCCTCCCACCCAGATCCACAGTTGTTTCCATACATTGCAATGTTTTGGTGCTAAATTAGTAAATATAGTAATTACTACATAACGTTAACGTGTATTAAACTACTTTTTCTGCCAATTTGTTTTAAAACATGTTTTGGTGTATAATTTGTAAAATCATAACGTAATTTGACATTTAATAGGCTTTTCCTAAATCCCTTCTTATTATCCAACATTTTTGCTTACACAATGTTCTGCCAGCCTGTTTATGTTGGATAAGCAAGACTCTACTGTAACTTCAGCCAAAAATATATATGCTTTAGTTTTGGATAGCATTGGGAAATGTTAACACCGGTGGTGTTTGTTACGCTGTCTGTGCCCCCATTCAGAAGATTTCACCTCACTTTTTGTTCCTGTAATTATTGGATTTTGAAAACTATGGCTTGTTGTGGAAACAAGGATTGGTGATAAAGCTTCAGTTGAGATAATTTTTCCCCATGATAACTCTTTCAGGGGCGAAATTCCTTTCTGAAAGGTAGATTTCTCTCACTTCCTGTAGTCTCACCCCTGTTCTTAACTATAAGTTGTTCGTAAGTCAGATGTTTGTAACTCAGGGACTGCCTGTAGTTGAAAGATGAACCTGAACGAAAACAAAAAATAGTACTCCCCCATATTTTTTTCCGTTTCATTCAGACTTCTTGCCTTACAATATTTTGATTTAGGATGAAAAAAAATAAAACATGCAGTAGATGCCAGCCACAGCCTAATAGTGGGAGAAAGGAATACAACCAAACTCAAATACCTGCTCTTATATGCATAGAAGTAATGGGCACTGCTACAAATAATGCTCATGGACCTTTGCAAACTCTATGTAAACAGCGAAGAGACTAGATACATTAGTCCCAATACATTGTTTAATCTAAGTATAAACCCCCAGTTATTGACTGCTGAAAAATGGTTAATACACAGTCAATGGTATTGACTGTTGGCTTTGGATAGATTACAGCTCAAGCCTCTAAAGTGATTTCACATAGTCAGTCAAGACTCTATGGTTTATTAACAAAAAAAGTGGCCATTCCACATGTGCATTTGTAAGGAAGTAAGAAACTTCTCCTCATGGTTTAATTTTTAATGAAATAAGCCAATAACAAAAATCATAATTGATTCTTGCCTTGTTTCAAGGACTGATTCATATGTGAAAGCAACTGTAGCAATTGTAATGAATCAAGATGTGTATTTAATTTTTAATGTAATAAGCCAATAACAAAAAATCATAATTGATTCTTGCCTTCTCAAGGCTTCCTCAGCAAGCGAGAGTCCAAAAGTGGCAGGCTAAAACCCAGAGCCTCAATCAATGGCTGATACCAAATGAGGGACTCCTTCCTGGGCACACAGAGAACTGGGCAACCTGTAAGGCACTGAACAGACTGCACTCTGGCACCATGAGATGCAGAGCGAACCTTAAGAAATGGGGCTATAAAGTGGAATCCATGAAATGTGAGTGTGGAGAAGAGCAAACCACAGACCACCTATTACAATGCAGTCTGAGCCCTGCCACATGCACAATGGAGGACCTTCTTATAGCGACACCAGAGGCACTCCAAGTGGCCAGCTACTGGTCAAAGGACATTTAATCAACTACTAAGTTTGCAAACTTTGTATTTTGTTTGTTTGTTTGTTTCTAATGCAATACAACTGTGTGGTTTGCTCCTGACACGATAAATAAATTCAAGGACTGATTCATATGTGAAAGCAAATGTAGCAATTGTAATAAATCAAGATGTGTATTTTTTCTGAATGCATCTATATTGTTGCATAAAAAAGCAAGGGAGTAGGAAACACTTGCATCAAGTAGACTATTCCTCAAATGCTAAGGATAGTTTCAAGCAGCCTTTTAAGAACAGGCAGCTTCCCAATGCACTGCACATAACACACCAGATAACATCTCATGCTGACTATAGGTGAATTGAAGCTCAATATATCTGGAGAGTATATGTTGAGGAAAGATACTTAAACCACTATATCTTCTCTTTCTAAGAAGAGAAGAAACTGGCATACAGAAAGGTTCATAGGTAATACTGGCATAAAGGAAGGTTCCACTGTCATTTGCCAACAAGTTACCTTGTCACATCCAGAGCTTTCTGCACTTTTGCTTGCACTGATCCCAGCAAGTCAGCACCCATCTTCTTGAGTAACTGGGTCAGAAGGACAAAGAGCCAATCTTGCAAGTCATCCTTGTGAATAATGATGAAATCTACCAGGGTTTCAAGAAACATACTAAAAACCTGTAAATGATTAGGAGAGCAAGAAAAAAAATAATGGTGTAAAAACACTTTTCTTTCAATGGGAAGAACAAAACTGTTTTAAGTGAGAGATGGCAAACACCAATGTGATATGCCATTTTAAACATACAAAAGAAGTGAGATTGGGAGATGGGGTGAGGAGGAAGGAGAAAACACTTACTCTCTGTTGTGAATTCCACCGCAAAACAGGGCATGCAACAAAACAAACCATTCATTAGTACACAGATATATAGAGAATCAAAGTAAATTACTCTAAGGCAGTTTTTCTTAACACCCAGATTTCTTGCAGAAAAATTTGTCACAGAGCAGGCTAAGGCCACAAAGACACCTACTGAAATAACCCATTTTATTTCACGGTGAAATGTTCTGCTCCAGATATCATCCCACATTTACAACACTCACTTTCAGAATGTATCCAAATATTGTTCATAGTTTGTAAAGTCTGAAATTCTATTTAGTATTGTGATCAAATACTGTGTTCTATAAAGGAGTGGAATTATTTATACCACAACTTCAACTTCATGCACCTGATGTGGTGGAATGTAATCAACAAGGACATGCTATAATGAAAGTGTAAGTCTTTGAGATGTCACATGAATATTTGTTGGGTTTTCCCCTCATTTGGTTGCCCAATCCTAAAAGGCAAATCTATCTCAATAAATAACACATACACAAGTGGATTGAGATAACTTGGGTTTTGAAAACTGGGTTGATCTACATAATGAAATGTTTAAGAATATATTTTCTTCACAAAATACAATATTTGTCTTAAAGATATCCTTATGATGTTACCTTGCTGTGTGGGTCTGCAAACATGCGTGTGAAGATCTCACACAGCCTTTTCAATTCCACTCGACTGAAACACAAAACAATTAAAGAAACTATTTAAGATCTGACAGAGAGCATCTGAAAAGTAAGTAAAAGCAAATCCTTGTTGCTAATATCAAGATTAATAGCACCAAAAGATATAAACTGGACTTTTGTTGGTCAAGCCCAACTAAAATAGACCAACTAAATCAATGTTAAATGTATGAGACAACATGCAGGTAAATCCCACTGATTCCGAGTCTCTGGTCATGGACTCGGAACAATGGGTTCAAATTACAAGAAGGAGTTTCCACCTGAACATTATGAAGATCTTCCTGACAGTAAGAGTTGTTCAGCAATGGAATTATCTGCCTTGGAGAGTGGTGGAAGTTCCTTCCTTGAAGGCTTTTAAGCAGAGGCTGGATGGCCATCTGTTAGAGGTACTTTGATTGGGCTTTTCCTGCATGGCAGAGGGTTGTATTAGATGGCCCATGTGGCCTCTCCTATGATTCTATGTTAAGCTATGGCCTAGGAATGCATTTTAGGCCATTGTCTGTAAAGCAACTAAAGACCAGAAATTGAAAAAAATATTTAAGATGAAATGTCAAATCCCCCCCCCCCCCCCCCCCCCCCCCCCATCCCCTCCCCCAAAAAAGAGGATCCTTTCGCCTTGCTCTCCTTCTCTCTTGCTTAGGGCAACAAAAATGCCTGCAAAAAATCTAAATTCACACCAACTAAGGGCAGTTAAAGACAGTATAAGTTTTTTTGTGATTTTAAACTACTGCATATTAAAGAGTTTTGAAATCATATTAAATATTTGTATTTGTGTATTAATGTTTTATCTATTTTACACCACCTCCTGGGACCCTGGTGGCCTGAGAGTTAATAAATAAATGTTTTAAGTTAATAAATACAACATAAATGTTGTCCTCACTAATGAATGTTATTCCCTTTAGTGTTACACCCATGTCAAAAATACAAAAATGTGGCTTTCGAACAATTAATAATTCGTCATCATTGTAAGTACCGACAGGAATTACTGCCAACAACTGGAAGACACCCTGATCATTGAGAAATGTTCTATAGTTTGCTTTCTTAACTTGTACTTCAGCTGTACCAGGAGTGAGGTACCAATGAAGAGCCCATTAAATCTGCTTAAGCACTCACCTCAGTGTCCGTTGGCTCTTCAGTAAATTCTGCAGGCCTATCAGTCCTTCTTTCCTTTCAGACCAGTTGGAACTAGCACAGTGATTTAAGACCTCGGCCACATCCTCTGTCTGCCGCAAGTAATGGGGGATGCCTCCATTGCGGGAACCATAGGAACGCTCTGAACAAGCACTCGATGCGTCGCTGTTTGCGTCATCATCAGAATACATTCCATATGGCTCATACCTTCGTCTCACCGGTTTTTTCTGGTGGAGTGGGTGAATGGGAAGGGAAATTAATAGACTTTGCAGAGTTATATTTCTGTTACCACCACCCCACAAAGGCTAGGCAATTGCAACAAGAATGGAATGCAATTAAACTGCATCTCATCAGTGGTATATGAAATGGGGCCAAGGGGAGAGCAAGCAGGCTTAGCAAAGTGTACTGAACGAACAAATGGTATTCACTGCAAACACTTTCCTGAAATCAGTCTATAAATAAAATGCTTAAAACAATACTAAATATACTCTGGTGCAATTTCATAATCAATCTATATTTGCATGGAGAAAAATGTGTCTACGCTTTCTAATGGTGAAATGACTACCAAGCACCAGCTTCATTAAAGCTCAAATGAAGGAAAAGCATGTTAACCCTAGCACAGAGAACCTTGAGGATCACAACATGGGCTGAAAGCCTCTAATAACTAGCTCTGAGAGAACTGTCAGTGTCCTGTGATCTGAGGAGGCATCCTAGTGTCACTACTGTAAAACGAGATACTTATTGCTTGACACAGAAGCCACTGGTAATAGAAACTGTGACATTGCTGAGGCCAAAACATACTACATGTCTTGGATAGATAGCAGTGGATTCAGAAAAATAGCTGCTACATCCTATTTTAATCTTATGGGATAGAACTAAAAACAAAAAAGCTTAAAATGGCAACCTGTGAAACAAAGAGCTATTACATTAAGGGCTCCATGTTTTCCACATCTGTGCCAATTTTTTTTTCAATTGACTAGATTTTGTCGTATTTTTTTGAACATTTTACAACAAACTTATTTTGAAATCCAAGTTTTTTTCTTGAAGAGAAGAGCTCAGAATTAGGTAGAAAGAGCATTTAGAAGCAACTGTGAGCCAGGGAGGGATTCAAGTGATGAGAGCATAGAGGTATAATGGCTAGAACAGTATTCTTACTCTCTTCTATGGCTAAAATTTCTTGAATTTGTATTACCAGCTAATGTCCAGTTTCCATATATTTCATATCCTTCAATTCTGCTATCTTTCTATAATTCACAATACAAAAGCCACCTCTAGATTGTGAAATTATACTAACATAATCCTTTACAGAAATCTGGTTCTCTTGTGTCAATATTTTGATTTCTTAAGGCAGCTATCACAAAATCTGTTATGAAAATGATATTATTTCCAGTCCAACAAGACTGTAATTTGATACAACTTGGATTCTAACATGTTAAACAATTACACCACCATATGAATTTTGAAACAGGGAGAGCAAAAAACAGAAAGTAAACTAAAGAAAGAAAGAAAAAAAGTAAAACAGCACTGGTACCTTGCTCCTGGAGTCTCCTAACAGCTGTATGCAGGAAAATATTGAAGGGTGGGAAAAAGCATAGAGAATTATGTCAGAAGCTTATGCAGGGATTGCTCTTGCAACAAAAATGTACAAGCAAATGCACCTTCGCAAATTAAAAATACAAATTCAGCCAATTTGTTTTCAAGCAACATAAAATTAAAATGATTTCAGAGTGCGGCATCAAGGTGATTACTCTTTGACTCTTGGTTTAATAGAAGCCAAGTTTTCTTGGAGAGTATGCTTATGCTGGCAATACGGAGTTGGCATTTTGCCTGCACTAAAGCTAACATACCAATGCCTTATATCCTACTGACACTGGTATAAACCTCTCCTAAAAGAGTCCCAACCCAGAACATCATCTCCAAGCATCTCTTCTCTTACAATTCTCATCATCCTAGGTCAGTATGGCCAATTACTCAAGAGAATGCAAGCTTTCGTACAATTCAGAAGGTGTCATTTGGTGTATTGCCAAAGGCTTTCATGGCTGGAATCAGTGGGTTGTTGTACGTTTTTTCTAGAGGCATTATCTCCTGACGTTTCGCCTGCATCTATGGCAAGCATCCTTAGAGATAGTGTCATTTGACTTTCGCTGTTTTGGACTAAATTTGCTTTACGAACAGGCATGAGATTTATCACTAACTTCTTTAAAAGGAAGCTGCATCTCATAATTCACACAGACCAAAGATAGCAGGGACACTCTTCAAATGAATAAAACTATGGACAAAACTGTATTTGTATTGATATGACAGCCTGAAATTGTCTTTGGACAAAACAATGCATCAGCCATAACACTACCTTTTCTTGATGGATCTTGAGTGCTGCAATTTATAGTCAATTATTCTCTGTGCAGATAGTTGTAACCAGTAAAGAGAGTTAAGATAGTAAGTTGCTAGTAAGCATTTGCTCAAATACTAACAAAGAGAAGCAAGTCATCTGAACCAAGACTATGCTTTGATGTAGCCTGAGACAAAACAGCAACCGATTCTTTATTCTGAGAGCCAAACACAATATAGATTTAGATAGTACACTTATGGCCAAACATTTCACTTAGAACTTCAGTGGCAGTGAAGCTTTTAACCAAATGCTGATTTGTTTCTGCATTAACAAGATACTAATACATAATCTGTATAACTTGATAGATGATAGTCTTGGCCATCTTCCTGTTCTACTTAATGAAGGAATGTGGATAATCCTATCATTACCACAAGGTGGCCTGATGAACAATATCTTCTCATCTGGTTATGTATCTCCTCTCTTCCAGAGCAAGAACCCTCTCATAATCTCAGCAGCAATATCCTTGTGTGGTTTTCAGATTTGGATATGTGGGTATGGGAGTTCTAAATCGTTTGGGAAATTAATAGCAAAAACAGAGAAAACAAAAAGGCAAAAGGACTGCTTCCGCTGGTATAAAGCCATGCAAGAGGTGCATGTGTAGCTTTTGCTCTTTGGGGATTTATCATGTGAAGTTCCAAATCATTTAGTACTCATGGATCTCTTGCTAGGAGATACACACGAAACAAATACCCAAATGAAACAAATGGAACAAATACTGTGCCCACCTCTACTATTTGCTCTCTCCTCTTTGTTTCTGCTCTCATTCTGATTGGTTGTTTAGAATGGATACTCTTTACTTCTGACTTCTGCTTTTCAATCTTTGTGTATGCTGTGTGTTTTGAGACCTCCCTCTGCGTGTGTGTCAGGAGAGATGTAGTGATTGGTGTTTTTTCCCTCTCTTTAAACCTTAGAAGGGATGGGTGTTAGAGTAGCTGAGACATACTTCTTTACTATGAAGAAATGTAGTTATTGTTTTCTGTAAATAAACCTTTTGTGATTTTAAAGATCAGACTCTGCATCTTTGCCTGCCTGAGCTCTTAATTCTTTACAGCCACATCACACGGCACTTCATGCTTTGCTTGCTGTGAGTTGATTGCTCAACTTTAAGTATCCTGTTCGTATTTTGGATGCTCTGCTGATTTTTGGGTAGTTTTTCCCTAACAACAGTCATATCTTAGAAGAAATTTGACTTTGCCAATCTAGTCTTCAAAACCATTGTCATATGTATGATACAGTAACAACAGTTTAAAAGGGAAATCAAGGCTGGTGGGATCTAATAGTATCTCAGGTTCAGTGCAACACATGCCTGTCAGACATGCCCCTTTACACTCTAATTTAGACAAACAGGACATTCTCTATGCAAGAGAATAACAAACAGAAATCTGGTACTAGAAATAGCAACATCCAAAAACCATTTACAGAGAATGTCAACCTTCTCAAAAATACAACCTTTTACTTACATGTAACATTTCTTAAAAACAAAAGCAAAACAAAACAAAAGAAGACCAAAAGAGATGAATTGGGAAAATGATAAATTTCAATCCATTGGTATAGGTATGGACAGATATAACATTTCCTTGGTATACTACCATATACAGGTTCTCACAAATGCAATTTAACAAAAACATCTCTTCGGAGTATTCTGTCAGTCAGAGTAAACTGTTTGGCGTAAGCAGATTTATTGCTTTCACACCTTTATGCTATAACTATGTCTATGTCATTTTAAGCAATTCTTTGGATCACAATCTGTAGTTTTCTTATTATATTGTGTTTAGACTCCTACAACTATGTAACTACATTAAAATACCTAGGTTGTATATTGTACTTTGTTGGTGCACCTAAAAGAGATGAATATCAATGAAATCTTATGCTGAAATAAATCAATTAGATTCCTTCTTCCCATATTTATGGTACTGTAACTGTGTTATGTAGTGACAGGTGAACATGGCTCGTTACAGCATCACTTTTGCTTTCTGCTAACTGTTGATAGAAAAAGGTAGACAGGAAATAGCTAGGAAACATTAACTAGTATAGTGTTTGTCTTCTCAGTAGATGTACTGCCTTTTGATAGAATCAGTTTCAAGAATGCCAGATAACAGTGTTGAATGTTTAGGGTAATGGGAACATCAAGCTTCTAGCTTGTGGAAACTATTCCACTTCTTACTAAAAAGCTGAGATGCACAAAACAAAACTTGGTGCAAAAGATATTCGTTTAGAATGGAAGAATTTATAAACCTAGCAACTTGTTTATCATAAATGAACAGAGCTCTTTACACAAATCCATTTGTGGTTTTCCCAAGTCTTCTTCATCTCAGTGCTGTAATTTAGGACAAGGGAGGGGGATGAGAGGAAGTCATTTTGTTCCTGTTACTGTTAAAAAACCGGGAATCAGAATCCTGGATGATCTACTGTGACTCACTCAGAGCTGTGTCATTACATGTAGAGATTCCTTCTGTCTACCTTTATCCAACCACTCTGGAAATAACTCCCATGTTGTAAAAGAAGCAACTACAGTGTGAACACTTACATCTACAGCCTTCACCACCCTTTCTGGGGTATGGCAATGGGAAAAAAGAAAATTTTCCAAATTTGGAAATTTAATAAAAACAAATAGCGTTTAAGAGACTACATAACCCATACAGACACACAATACAGAGGTATATAAATTATAGGAATACAAACTATATACTCCTCGCAGCTTATTCTTGGATAAAACCGGGTCAATTTATTGAACAAAAGCACCAGAGTAGTATTCTATTATTCAATGCTGTGCTAGCTTAAGTGATGTGAGATATCCAAATCAGTAGGAAAAAGGCATAAAACATGGCTATCTTGTAACTCTTCATCCATATGTGAGATTACAAGCACCTTAAGACCTTTTCCCAGATCTAAAATTCTCATTACTTCTCTCTCTTCTGCAGCATAGTAATCTTTATACACATATACATATGCTGAAATCCCAAGACATTTACACAGAATCACCCACACTGGCAGATTGAAAAGGAAAACTGAAAAAACAGAGAGAGGAGAATGTACGTACAGGAGGCAACTTTAAGCGACTTTCTGGAGTTGGTAGCATTTTGTGTTTTCCTCTTACCAGTGCATCTGCCACAGCAGCTTCCAGATCTGTGCTTGTACTGAGAACTCGCATCGCATTCATAGAGGCAGGCAACCTGCCTGGCTGTCCAAGCCCAAACCGGTCTGCACAAAAGACAATATTGAAAAGGCATAATTAAGAGAGCTCATGGTCTCTTGGAATATTAATAAGGCTGCTGGCCTTATTCATCGACAAAGACTGGAAGCTTTTCCGTGGCTTCAATTATTATTAGGCACTCTTTTTGTTGGTTACTAAGATGGGAGAACTTTAGGATTACAACAGAAAGTCAAAACACGATGTTCTGTTATAAAGCTCTGGGGCTAAACACAGCAATGGGCAGATCTTTGGCACGCTTTGTACTTTTCTACTGAGGATGGCAGAAGAGCTCTTTCATGGTGACTTTTAAATACTCTAATTCTTGAAAGAAGAGTATGTAAGCACTATGTAAAAGTTCAATGAAAACTTGCCAACAGTACTTTCTTAATTTGTTGGGGAGGGGGAGTTTTGCAGTCTTTAATTTTTGTGAATAATTTCAGAACCTGCACCTGAATAGTTCTAACTGTTCTGACAATGGTCTGCCAGTCAATCTGGAGCAGAACCCACTTCTAAGCCCAAGACAATTAAGAGGGTTTTAGCAACTGACTGAGGGGGAAAATAGTTAAAGACTCAATTTTTGTTGTCCATAAAACATTTTGAGGGCAACTCTTTCTTTTTGTACAGAGTTAGGATTTTACAAATCAACATAGATTATAAACTATCATGGGGTTTTTGGTTTTAAAATTAAACCCAAAAAATACAGCTGGGAGGAAAAAAAACTTGCAACTACCACCACCAGAAACCAATTATACTGATAGGAGCAAATTAAGGATCCCTCCTCCAACCTTTTCTGGAATAGAAGACATTTTGGCCTGAAGACTGGCAGCCTCAATAGTAGTACTAGCGGATACTCACCCACTTCTCGGTACCCAAGAAAGCTACCACAGTTCATTAAATTTCAGCAGCTTATTTGGTACCAAGAGAATATTCACTTGTGACACATAGCCACTAATAGGTTCTAGCACAGAGGGAAGCTGCCACAATTGATATTAACAAATGTGGATATTTGGAATTAGCCTTTCATTTTTAACTTTTTTTGCATAAACAATTGTAGTTTTCAAAGCATGAAGTCTTAGATATACATTTCTATTGTAGAATAGTATCATTTTTCATAGCATGTCATACATGGATTGGTTTATTCATTGCAGATTTGTTCAATCTTATCTCTGAATATACAGTTGTCCCAGAAAATTGTTCAAAACAAAGGATGTTGTCTTTTTTCCTCTATAATTGCCATCTCTCCCCACCAATTAAGTTTCAAATGTATTATCTAGTTATGGGTTTTAGTGACCATTTCGCTTTTGTATCTTAACAGCAGGTAACCTGGGGGACTGGGGAGAAGGGAACAGTGCTTAAGGAACAACCAGAATTTCAATTTTTAAATAGAAGCAACCTTCCCATAGAAGCACGTGCCCTAATTCAGCTCTAAATGTGGATAATTTATTTACAACTGACTCTGGGTAGCAAATAGCAATGCACAGCAAAAGAATTAACCAGCTAGTTCAGCAAACCCAGTCAGCATAATGAAACAGAGAATATTTGAGGCGATTCACTATTATCTTCACTTTCCAATGGAACAGCTTCAACCAACAATGTGGGGGTGAAGCAGTGCCCATCCTTCTTTGCACCCCCAATCCCCCAAAATGGACCCTGAAGGTTAAGGGAGAGTGAGAATCCCATTCTGTGAAACAACATTCACTTTCATGGATGTTGAATTTTGTCCACTGATCTGTAGAATACTGCTTCATTGCACAAATCTCTTTTGCTAAATTAGGGAAATTATTTGTTGTATGTTGTGTATTATGATAGTAAGTAGTAAGTGAATTATTTATGAATTACTATTTATTATAGTATTTGATGAGTGAATTATTAACTATTGTTTTTTCCCTGTTAAAAAAGGCAAACTGCAAATATTTAAGGGTAAATTTGTTTAAAGTATGTTAATGAATGCACATGAATTCTTAATAAGATTGATTAAAATGATAAATTCAACAAGTGATACAGCAATTAAGAAATAGAACAAGTTGATTGGGAAATTGCATTTGACAATTCTATAAACTGCTTTTAAGACTTTGCAGTTTTCATTCAGACAATAATTGTGCTCAGTTTCAACGCTTCCACTTAGGTTCACATTAAGGAAACCAAACTTATATCAACTATGACAAAAGAAAAGAATCATTGTTAAATAGAAAGACAGCAAAACCAATAATTTCAAAGCATCAGGACAATGTTGCATACAGAATTTTCTATTTTCAAATGTTTTTACCAAGATCAGACATTTTAAATTTACAACAAGCACATTTTCTAAAACTAAAATATGCTACATGCGAAAATCAATTTTTTGAAAATAAAATGTTGCTTCCAAATTAAAGGATTGATGATGATTACAAAGAAATAAAAATGCACATGTTGATACTATACTATCCCCCCTTTTTAATGCACCAAGATGTTGAAGCAGGGCAAAGCAATGCTTGTTCTAAATATCTCTTTTGCTCCAAGTCAAATGTTTGGTGAAAAATGATGACAGACAAAATGCAAAAAGCCAAATGCTATTTTATGTAGATTTGTATAATTCTACCACAGCATCTTAAAGAATACAATCTGAAAGGTATGAACCGTACTTTGTTAATGTTCTCTGTCCAATTTTTTGCAGGTGCATTTGGAGAAGCTACAAACTATAGGATAGGTGCACTGTTTATGTCTATAATCATGGCCTCGTTTTGATGGCAATGGTCAGTCTCAGTGAAAGCAGATTTTCACCCTTACCAGTTTTAAAAAGAAGGCAATAGTAAAGCATTGAAACAAACTGTGAATTTTCCTTTCCTGTCTGCTGTGAAGAAAATATCCAAAAAGATGTGTTTAGGCCCCCTTCCACCTCAGGAAAGCAGGTATCATATGGCCAAGAGTTTTGATCCAAGTATGATGACCTTTTGCTCCTCCTCATGTCTCTGTTAATGATAGATAACACAAGACGCATAGAAGAGGACAGGTGCAATTGTACACAAACAGTAGTACAATTGTTTGTACTACTGTTTCCTTCTAGTAAGTAAACATACTGCATTTCCTTCTAGTAAGTAAACATACTGCATTTACTGCATACTGGCAGGAATTTGGTTTCCATACTGCAGTAGCTGGGCCTAGTGTGTCTTCTACAGTGTGGTCTTCATGGCTTAGCTGAACAGATTAAAAAAGAAACAAATAATATAGTTCTATCCAGATGAAGGAATGAACAAAGGGAAAGAGCAGAATTACCACAACTAGACCAAAATTTGTCATGTGACCCTTGCCTTCTTTGACAGTAGGAAGGCGTAAACTTATCATTTTGGATGTCTTCTTCCAACTGACAGAGATGTATGTAGAATATCATTATGCTGTTGTTGCAATGAAGAGAATAAAACAACTTTTGTAATATTTTGTTTGCCCATGGGTATGTTATCCTTCCCATGGCACACAGTAAGTTACTGTAACTGTATCAAGCAGCTGGCCTTACATACATGCATGATAAATTGACCTCAGAATTCCATATGTAATCTAATTTAATGATGGGTGAAAGCAGCTGATTCTGAACAAACAAAACAGTTATCCAGGATGAAATGTGCAACTCAATTTGCTCCAGAAACTGTATATGGAAGAAGAATCTAAGCAACCACTATCTTGATCTGACACATTAAAAAGAAATCTCTGTTGTACAGTAGTGAACAATTATTTTACCATAATTGAAAGAAATCATAGTATTCCAATAAAAGGAATACTTACATAATCTCGTAAAGGGTGAAAATCTAGCTCCAGCTGAAATGATTAAGAGTGACCAAAAGGACCAGAATTGCTCTGGCTGCCATTTCTTTTCAAGTAAATTTAAGAATGCATTAGGAAAGGGAAGACAGCTTTTCAAAGATGCGAATGATCAGAATGGCAAAATAAATCAAGTTGTAAGCCTTTGAAGTACCCAGTGGGAATAACTAAATCAAATCACATTATGTACGGTCCGGCATGCAACTGTATGATCCACTTTAGTACAAAGGCAGAAGCTATGAGAGGTGATGAAATGATATAGCTTTGTATTGAATCTGTGCTTTCCCATTCCTGTCTCCAAAAGACTTTACTGATTAATGCAGATACGAGAGAGATCTACAGAAGTCTCCAACAACTTTCAGAAGAATCCAAAGTGTCTAAACCGGCAAAGAACAACTAAAGCTCCAAAAGTTATATCCAAAAGTTACTATAGCAGGGACTTTCATATGTTGCTCTGATTACAGTACCAAAAATGAAGATCAGTCTTGTCCAACATCTTTGCAACCTGCTCTGTTGTCTGGAACTGGAGAAGTTTGTGGCATTATGCATCTCAGCTAAACTTGGCTTTCTGAGGTAAACTTCCTAGCAATTTGAAAACAATTTCCTTTGAGCATTATGGTACTGCAGTGGCTTCCAGAGTATTCAGTCATGGGAGGAAGCAAATTGCAAAGCTCATTGATGTGTTTCTGATGAATACTAGCATTACATAAAAGAGCCTACAATCTATCTAGGACAAACATTTCATGACGGCTTATTGTAGTGCTTGTTCTCATACTTATTACAATCTATGGTCATCAAAAACTTAATTCAATGGGTGCATTTTAAAAATTAACAGGGCGAGTTCCATGTTTACAATATCATGTGCTTTTTAAAAAAAATTCCTGTATCTATATGAGCAGCTTTAGCATCTTAGAGATGCATGTCTGTTCATATACTGCCCTTACGTGCTAAGTTTAAGTATATAGACATTGGTATTATTGTTTAACACACGGGTGGCAGTTTCCGATCCTGGTTAGAACTCTTATGCACTTCTGAGTATTCCTTGCTTAAGTAAATTCTATGAAATATATATGGCTGCCATAAGTCAACAGGCAACTTGAGGGTGCATACATACACACATATACAACCAGTTTCCTATTTAAACTGGGCCTTAGAAGATGTTTTCCACCTGTTTATAACTGCATCGTACGTCTGGCAGTAAAAAGAGAGATATAGAGGTAAGAAATGGAAGATGAGTGAGGAAGTGAAGCAGAGTGGGAGGTGATTGATAGCTAGCGCAGGTGGGACTGGGCTACTTGGGTTGGAATTTTTTAAACAACATGTTGGCTTTAGGTGTGCAGTCTTAGCAATGAGAGACAACAGTCATTTTGTTGTGCTATATACAGGGCTCAGTCTTCCATTATCCAGATTTCTTAATCTGGCAGTCACTGGACACCCTAAAATATGAGGTGAATGGCACAACTTTATTGCTTCAGAAATAGCTCAACCACACTATGCACCTCCTCTTTTACTCAAACTAAAGTTCTTTTCAAAAGTTAGAAGCATTAAAAAAGCAAAGCTTTTATTTGGGGTTGGTTCTGCACATACTGTGGACCGTTAGTTTCTGCTGGAGTTTGGCTTCAGGACTATCCATGGATGCTCAAGTCCCATTACTGTGTATGCAATGGCATAGTAAAATATCAAATAATTCAAAAAAGTGTCAGAAAGAGACTGAGAATGTGGGAAATGATGGGGGGTTATAGCAGCGTATGCCTATACATCAGAATAATATTCAACACACAATAAAATCAAGGTTTGGTTTTTAGAAAAATGTTCCCAAATATTTTCAAGCCAGGGTTGGCTGAATCTGTGGATGCAGAAAATGTGGATATAGAGGGATAAAAGGTAAAGGTTTCCCCTTGAAATTTAAGTCTAGTTGTGTCCGACTCTGGGGGGGGGTGCTCATCTCCATTGCTGTGGCTGTGGAGTCAGGCCTTCGATGAATGAGACAACACCATAGGACCCTGGATGGAAGTTGAGGTAGATCCATCTTAATAGGACGACTGACCACTGTAGTTTTATATATAGTGTTTTTAAAGTTATTTTTGTAATTGTGATATATGATATTTTAATGAGTGTATATGTTTTTATGGCTGGAAACCGGGCTGAGTCCCTCAATGAGGTTGAGAAGCTCGGTATAGAAAACTGTGAAATAAATAAATAAATAAGCCAAAGATCCAGCATTGTCCGTAGACCCCTCCAAAGTCATGTGGCCAGCATGACTGCATGAAGTGCTTTTACCTTCCAGAGTGGTGCCTATTGATATACTCACATTTGCATGTTTTTGAACTGCTAGGTTGGCAGAAGCTGGGGCTAACAGAGAAGCTCACCCCATTCCCTGGATTCGACCTTTCAGCCAGCAAGTTCAGCAGCTCAGTGGTTTAATCCACTATGTTATCAGGAGGCCCTTTAAAGGGATAACTGTAGTATAATGCTACCTCTAACTTTATTCTCTGTTATGTGTTACAAAAAACTAGGCCCTAATGGTTGGACATAAATGTAGAATATCGTTGGTATCAACTGGATTTTTAAAACTCCTTATCTTTAAATGTAGCAGTGCATTTAGTTCCAGTTTCTAGAGCTCATGTTCAGTTTATGCCATCCCAGGTAAATTCTCCATTACTCAGATTGTAAATCAAATCATGTTACGAATAAACACCTATCTTGTTTAAGAAGCAAGTATACATCTTTTAGGACCCAGTCTGTTAATATGAAACAGTAATGGTTTTAATTTATATCTCTCCATAAGAAATGAGTTGTATGGTTAGAGAAGACTCGTTTTGCAAATAAGCAGAAGACTGCACATAACGCTACACCAGATTCTACATGTATGAACAAAAGAAGACCAAATAAAGGTCTGGGTTTACATGGTCTCCACTCTCTTCTTCACCTCTCCCATTGCCAGGAGGTGTAAATCAAGATTCAGTTTCACTTTCCTCTATTACTGGATTACCATGCCACATACAGAAACAGAAATTTTGGTTTAAAATCAACTTTCAATAATATAGAAGTTAGGCTGGATTGTCACACGTTTTTAAAACACAACTACATAGTTTGTTTAAAACTACGATTCTGGGTTCACATGGAACAATCTAGAAATTGGCTACACTGGAAGACATGTCTGGATTGGAAGAGATAAGATGGAAGGAGAAGAACTTGAGTCTGGCATTATCTCCTCAAACAAACAGCACTGAACTATTCTGCAGCATTTCACAAGAATGTAGTCAGTGAAATACTAAAATTGGAAACTACTGCTGAATGCTGAATACCATCATTATTGGTAATAGCCAACTCTGCCACTTATTGAACGTCAGAGATGTTCAGTCACTACGGCTGCTTTTGAGTGGCATGTGCAAAGACACCAGTATCAACATACTTAACAGAGAAGGAAGTATACCACAGAGCCCTGACTAGCCATTTTAACATTGTTTCCTCTCTGGGAATAGCACAAGCAAGAAAAATTAAAAACACTCAAAATGTAGAATGACAAAAGCATGTTGAAACAAACAGAAGAGAAATCCTATTGGGGAACGACGACATGCGAAGCACTGAGTGATGTTTGTGAAAGCACATGTTAAAATGGCAATAAAAAGAGACGATATTAAGAAGCAGATTCATGCAGTTAACACTTGTTCACCTGACTGCCCAACAGACTCAGCAGTGGAGAGAGCACTAGTGGACCTGGAATGACGTCGAGAGGCTGCAAGTAGAAGGAATGGCAACACCCACAGAATTAACACACGTGTACTTGAGACAAAGAAAAAAGAAAACACGCCACAATCCAAAGTGGATGCACATGATTTAATACCGACACTGGTGTTACACAGTGAAAGGAAATGGCATTGCATATGAATGAATATAGAGATCAAGTGCAAGCCCCATGGAAGCACCAACACCAGTTTGTCCTCCATCCCTCTGCCACCCCGCTCCCAACAATAAAACACAATGCATGAAAAACAAAAGAAATCTTTTGAAGGATTTCCAGGTTTATGCAGCCTGGCCAAGATCAGCAAGCAGAAATCACCTGCCAGATCCAGGGCAATTGCCATGAGAACATGAAATGATGAACTCAGCAGCAACAGGATTTAGATGTGATCAATCCAAATCCCATGGTAGCGCTACAATGAATAATTAGAAACTGTGCTTGTAGGTACAAAACCTCAGACTTCTCATTTACAGATGCAAACCCATGGGCAATAAAAAGGCAATTTGTAGTCAGCTATCAAAATGCAGAAAATTGTTAAGACAATAAAAGCAAACAACTTTCTCCACATACATTTGCTTCATACATTATATTTACCCACTGACCCACAAAACATACCAACATTTATTACACTTTCACCATCAATTTGAGCATAAATACTTTGCCACCAATTCAAAACACTGGTCCATTGCATCCAATGCCATCAACCTTAATTGGCAGCTGCAGTCCCAGGCTCCGGAAATGTCTTTTCCACACTTGACAGCTGGGATATATTAATTATAGATATCAGGGACTGAATCAGGGTCCTACTAGTTCAGTCCAATCTAAGTAGAGCACCATTTCATATATCCATATGGCCCAAACAACTTACACATACAATTCTAATATGGAAAAAAGTGGATTTGAATTAATGGGAGAGTTGGACTTCTAATGTTTGATAACATATATTTGCTAAATATGGAGCAACCTATAATTAATATTAATAGTTTGGTAAAACTGAGTAACAGAAAACCTAAGTGATTTAGAACTGACAACTAGCTACTTAAATAAAATCTTATGCACAGGCACCGAATAAGTTGTCTAACAAAAATAATTTCTCAGAGTACTGGAAACTCCGAGAGCTCACTTTTTATTTAACTCAAATCAGACTCCTATCAGAGACTATGATATTGTTGAGTCTGTAATACGGTTACAGGATATGCTGAAACACATTCCTATAGTAGGATTGCCTCAAAATTGCTAGATGCTTGTCTAGGCTTAACTAATGAATGGCAGTAATATGCAAGTTTCACACACACACACACACACACACACACACACACACTGAACCATAGGGAATAATGAGACTAGATCAATAAATGTCTTGAATCAAAAAAGTTTTAGATCAAAAATACAATAATATTTAGAAACATTTTACAATATATTCCACTACATATTTATTTTCCCTGGTGTGAATCTAATGCAATAATTCTCTCTGCACTATCTCCCAGTATGTTATTGTTTTTTGCTTACATTCGTTGACAACCACTATAGTAAATATGCTGCAGCTGATCATATAACGAAAAGATAAACTAATTTCTTTGCTGCAGACTGCTAGAAATCCATTAATTTCAGGGAAAGGCATTTGGTCAGAGTAGACTTACCTTAAGATCTAAGTCAATGAAATGGTTATATGGTAATGATACACTTTCTGATGGCAGATGAATGCCACACACCATGCCAAATTACTAAAGGAAGTATTTATGCTCAGGCAAACATATTTATGCAAGCCAGTATTATCCAGAGAAAAGCAAACATGGATGGTAAAGGTGTTATTCTTTTTTTAATCCACAGAGGTTGCATATACAACATAGGCTTGTCATTTAAAAATATTATTAACATATTTTTGGAGGCTGAATTTAGGAAAATGCAATAAAAATTTAATACTATACAACTCTTTAACACATTCAGGATTTTTATCAATTCAGTTGTTATTCGGTTTTGACTATGTGCAGGAGATGATGTTCCAATGCAATTTCTTTTAGTGTTTTTGAAAGTATATTAGAAGACTTTAACCCCTTTGTGTTTACTCTTTACTCCTCAAAGAAATCTTAGTCACATATTACTAAATAGAAATCTTAATCACATACTACTTAAGAAAAAGTAGGCCTAGTTTCCCACCTGAATGAATACAAATACATGCGCTCTCTTCTCTCCGATATAAATATCTAATTTCACTTTTCCTTTAAAGATGAGTCAAAAACTTTGTAAAAACAAATAAGTAGGAATATGTATAACAATTGTTCGCTTTCTTTAAATTTACCACTGTAAAGTACTAAGAACTGTGCATAACTTATACATGCAAGTGCAGCCGTACACCTTATTCCTATATTCAAAACCATTTGCGTTTAAGTGGATCATTATACACCTGAGAAGAAAGTCATAAATAGCTAGTTCCATGTGTTAGGGAATGTCAGATTCATATAAAAACGCCTTCAAACTTTGTTGTTGCCTTGCTTATAAGAAGGAACTGAATCATGAATAAGGAAATGTATTTGAGTGACTGAAAAATATTGTGGGAAAGAAAAACTTCCCCTCTCATTGGCAAGGTTGAATAGTACTTACTGTAAATATAAATTTACATTTCCATGGCTGCAGAAAAAAATCTGTTTGAAAAACGGATGAACCACACTACAACAGTGGTAGAAAAAAGCACCACCACATGCTTAAGCCATCAGTAGGCAAAGTGCCCCCTCCCCTGGACCACATGAAGTTTTCAAATGTTTTGCTTCAAATACACTTTAGGGGGTGTGGAGGCATTTTTGCCATTTTGGGCCCAGAAGAGGCTTTAAAAAACCCCATGAATTGAGTTCCAGGTCATGTCCTGCTGTAAAATGTCTAGAAAAAAGTTAGGCATTAACCTATTTCTCCACGCTTGTGTGATTCAGAGCTAATCTTCCTTCCCCAACACAATGAAGAAAGTGTCCCTACCTTCAAAGATCACCATAAAGTAGTGATGAAAGGCTGAGAGAATCTGTTAGGATGGAGAAGGTTTATAGCCTCCAAATGAGACTGAGATGTTAGGGATTGCATTTTCGGTCAGGTGTTCTCAAAACTTTCCAAGATTATCCTCCAGGCCAACCAATGATACCACTGGTGGAGCAATAATTTAGATGAGATAAACGTTTCTATAACAAGTACTTGGGATTTATTCTTCCTCAATCCCCACATCCTATGAAAAGAGTAATGTATCCTTTTCTACTGACTGCCTGCTGCTAGTGATCAAATGCTTTTGCAAATGTTAGTAGAAACCCCAAAAATTAGTGGTTGTCCAAATCTCATTCCTTTTACTTTCTAACTTACCATCAATATAACAACACAATGCCTATGAAAATACAAATATAATTTAAAAAGTGGGATTTTTGTTTATTTACCAGTAAATTCCAGTTTCTTTTATAGACTGCTTAGCAGTGAGGATGCAGAAAAAAAGATCGAAAGCCACTGGTCATTCTGGGTATCCCAAATGTTGCTAGGCCAGTGTCGGTGGGCCATTCAATAACCTATAATTTTGTTCAACGCCTCAAAACACTCAGTACTCAGATTTATAACAGGAGCTGCAAATTTCCTTTTGTTACTATTGTTGTTAACTTGGAAAGGTGGCAAAACAGATACAACCACATATTCAACTTCTACTTTAATGACTATCCATAGCTTTCTAATGTGATCAAAACCAAAAAATTAAAACAAATGTAAAGTTAACTGCACATATTTTTGACTTTTTCAAATGCATATAACTAACTGCACATATTCTTGACTATTCCAACATCTTTCTACAAATCGCTATTTGGGAATAAAGTGAAAGAACTGCAAAAAAGCAGAGCATCTAAAATGCACTATGTACCCAATTTAAAGAGGAAATATGAAAGTGAGAAAATGCTTATTGCAAGCTATTATAGATAATGTCCCCTTTCTTGTACCCATCAACTGACCTGATTTGGCAGTGACAACCTTGATTAAGCCTCTGGCATCCCACTTTGATCTACTACTTCTCAAATGTCTTAGTTTCTCTCTTCCTCTTCCCACTTTCCATCTTTGTCTCCAACTTCACTTGATGTCAACTGAGATCACAGTGCAAATAGAGTCTGTGCTCAATTCACCCAGCATAATCTTGCCCTTCCCATCAGACTCAGGTAAAAATGCCCACTGTATCTATTGCTGTTTCTCCACATATCTCTGCAGCAGAATTTAAGATTGAGGCATGAGGGGAGGCAATACACAGACAACCCCAAACCATTCTCTTTCTGTGGTGAAAAGCTAGCCATAGAAGGAAAAAGTAGGCCAGAGAAAGGGAATGATGAAGAAAAAGCTACTCTCATTAAAGCTCCCATCTCCGAGATCAAGAAAAGTACAGCTTACTCAGGGCAAGTCTGGAATAAGACTGATATGAGTTGCTTTCAATGCAGCTACAAACTTCAACAGCCATAACATATTATTTAGTGTATACTTAATCTATTTTGCATTCTTATGTTAAGTGCATGATACAAAGGCATTTCGTCCAGAACTGAAAAGGGAACAGTACCAGCAGCATCCTTTATCTTCTATGGCATGGTTAGGCTGACATTATATTGGCATAATGGACTTTTAAAACCCTTCTGGTGGACGGTTCATTCTCAGGATCAATACAGTTATATCTTAAGCCATAAGAGATCCCTGAGTATGCATTCTTGCTTAATAACCTTCAATCATCTTGACCATTCCAGAGGGGTTATAAAAAGAGAGCGAAAACCCAGAGTAGACCAAGTAAGATTGGTGTCACATTCTTTCTGATTTATTGAACATGGATCTCATTTACTGTCTATTTCTACATTTGTACACATGTCAAGTGCAAAAGGAATGCTTCCATTTTGATCATTGTGTTTTCCTGGTGTTCTAACACGGCTGAAGCAAGAAAAAAATGGAATAAATTGCTCAATGTCTGGATTGGTGACTGGAGGGAGTTATCCATATGTGCCTTGCTTTGTGCCTTCTAACAGAAAGAGTGGCAAGAATGGTTAAATAAATGGCCACTTACAAGCTTCTTGGCATCTCTGCCCTCCTCCCAGTTCCTCAATTTCCCACAGCAAAATTCAATCATGTTTTCCACACAGTGTTATTTCATCAGCATTACGAAAAGCCAGCCTATGCAGACATTATACAAAGCAAGGCATTCTATAAGGCAGCTTCATGTTCATGAGATTTTTTTTCCTCCACTCTGAAAGTTTAAGAGGTGCTGAGCACATGCTGCTGGAATACTGACTGCAGGCTTTATGTTATGAAGCTTTTTCTTTAATATATACATATCATTTGTGATATGTTTAAAAAAATTCTACAAGTAAAAACTATACAAACAATGCTGCCTCTGTCTGCACATTGCTCCAATTGGAGTTTAAAATGCCTTATATCACACTTCAAACTAGTAACTGGGATTTACAGCCAGCTAAGAATCTTATACAGAAATACACTCGTGCCTTTCATAGTATTAGGATGCTCAGACTGGAGGAAAAGTTCCTTCATAATATGTCATGCAACTACTTGATCAACAATACATAAAGAAGCATAACATATAAAAAGCATGGTTTCATGTTATTGGTTTGGAAGGCTAAGTTCTCCTCAGACAAAGGTAGCAGAACCAGGTTTGTAAAAGAAGGTGTGACTGAAACCTCTGTGCTGTGAAACTAGGATGCATATATTGTGCTATAGGAATTGAAATGACAACTTGTATAATAGGGGACCTTTTACTGTAATTAGACAACAGTAAACAGCTAGCCTGGCATAATAGCTGTGATATGGCATGCATTCAAGCGACAGGCTACGGTGCAAAGTTTAAAAAGGTTACAGGCACACTGCTCAAATCCCTTCCTTCCTGGGCAAACTTTACGTCATTAGATTGGAAAGTATTTTATGGTAACACCACTCTTTTTTCCAAGGATGCAAGCAATCTGCTTTCAAAATGGTTGTATTTGCAAAAACCAATGTGATTTAGATGCTCCTGCAAAATTTGGATGCTATAAAAAAGGGTTTTATCCTAATAGGCCTTCATAGTAAAGGAAAGCAGGATTTCAGCATGCAAAAAGGAACAGGCGAAATACAGGGATCCAAAAGGGGAAGTGTACTAGAAGACAAATAGGAGGAGAGAGAGAGGACAGAAAACAAGCTCATTTCAGCGAGTGATGCCTTGACTAAGGAACAAGAGAGAAGAGGGAAGGGCCCCTAGAAGCTGCGGTGCCTCCTTGTACTCACCCAGTGGAGGGAAGCCCCGAGCAGGGCTTGTATCCCGGCTGCTCTCACGGCTGGTATCGCGGCTGCACCCCTGACTCACGCTGGGTCGGGGGATACGGCTGCTCCGTGCTACCATGCAGCATGGATGGTTTCAGAGAAGGTGAACACAAGTTTAATGAGGAGATAAAGCTCAGACAGGAAAGTCACATTCATGGTCACTACTGACATTAGTAAGAAGTACTGGCGGCAGTCACTCTCTCTGGCTCCTGGCCTGGCCCAAACCAAGGGCAATGCATGCCAAGCTGAACTTTTTGATAAAGCACACCTGAGTGGTCTGCTTGGCAAACAGTCCCAGCTAGAATATTGCTAAAGGGACAGAAGATCTTAGTTGGAAAGACAGGGTTAGAGGAATACATATTTAAAAAGCATGGCAATCTACTGAGGTGGAAAGAAGCATCGTGGGAAAGCTATATACGTTGGGGAGATAGGTGAAATATCTTCAGTAGACATACAGCACTACGAAAAACCACTTTCATGTCTGAAGGTTATCTATCCCCAGTGCTTACATTTCCATCATTCATAGTAAGAATATACTTAAAGTTTCTCTCCTCTGTGAACTCCATTTTCAACAAGGTTTATTTGCCTACCCAAACCCAAGTCAGAATCTATTCCACTGTAATATTCTTCTATGGACCAGAGCACCTAAGAGTTATACTACAATACAATATACTACTAGTCTGTTATACTACAATACAATTCAAGAGTTTCAGGATCATGCAGTCTATTTTAGCAAGCCATCCTAAACCTTTCCATGTAGCCTTCTATCCATGTAGTTTGTGTCACCTGCCACAAACTGAATAAGCATTTTGTTTACATTCAGTTCTTTCCTCTTTATCCCTCACTTCAAGCTGTCCTGTCTCTATTTTGGACTGTTAGCTAGGCATAGGCCTAGCTGTTTCATGTTACACTGCAAAGCATTGTGTATGCTATGCTCCTGAATGCATAAATAATAAAAAGGATGGAAATATAGTTAAAGTTTGATTTTTAACTTTTAAACAGATTTCTAGAGAAAACAAATGCCTCAAACTGCAATTGGTGTGTTTCTATGAATAAATAAACACATAAATAAAAGGGTAACTCCAAGTGTATATTCAGCAGTGCAGTTTAAAACTATTATATGCAATAACTGTATTTAATAGTATATAAACTGCCATCGAATGTAAAGCACACCTCAATTTTGAAGGTGTGAAATACAAAAAAGGGGATTTGGTGGGTTTAGATGCTCAATTCTAATGCGCAAATCGAATGCAAGCCTCAATTTTAACAATGTCATTTAGCCAAAAAAGCAACAAGTGAGCATTTAACTTGAGTAAATGTGGTAACAAGGAGTTGAACTGGACTGAAGATGAGTATTAAACACCTAATGTGTCATTTCCTTATACAAGCCCATTCTCACAAACCACCTGCACTTGTGATAAAGATAACAGGAATAGGACTGTGCGTATAATACATTGCCATGAAAGAGGAAGCAGAAATCTAAGAATCAAGGTTATGTTCACACATAATGATAAAAAAGGAGACCTGATTTACAGTGAATAAGGAATATGTTGTTACATGTACATATTCACCCTCCCACTTTGTTCTTTCATTCACACAAGCATGCAAAACTAACCAACTGGAAATCCTGGCTTGTGGTTCTCAAATAAATCAGGTTGATAAGTCAACTAGAAACCAGGGGTGCCTTAACTTGACTGCACAATGTATTTTTCTGAGTTCTCTGACTAACAAGACAATGAGTAAATTTGAGGCTGTGATGACTTTGCTGGCCATGACTTCATGCTTGCACTAGGCATTTTTAAATGTATATACATATATGTTTAGTACCGATTTCCTCATCCCTATACTGCCTTGCTTCTTTGTACTGTGAGGAGTGCCTCTCAGAGGTCCTACAAGGGTTCCTCTTTCCATCCCATTCTACATCCTCCAATTGGATCAGGTCAAATATGCTCATTCAGATTTTAATCTCTTAAGCTTTGACATTCTACCCTGTAACTTGAGCTCTGATGGAATACTTCTTTCTCCAATCCCACCTGCCTTTCTAGTTCCTCTCTTATCTGATGCCTCCCGAAGCCCTGGTGATTAAGAACTGTTTATCCAGAGAACTCCCCTTTCATCCTGGCACCATGTTCACACTGAAAACTTGTAAATGGTAACTTCTACCTTCAAAAAGATTTCCCAGGTCTATCACATTCTGCAAGAAAGCAGACACCCTATGGGCGGGTATCATAAACATCTTCATTTCAGGAAACCTGTTCAAAACGCATCAGTGGCATTCATAAACGTAGATTTCTTGGAGGGAAATTGCTCCAGAACAAGTTGAATTGGTAACTTTACAGCAGCATAAACACAGACAACCATTTTTAAAGGAAAAGTAAAGGAGAAAACTATGATATGATTAGGGAAGAAAATGTTTGCCATCACCAAAATCTTCAAGGAATAGTCAATGGCTAAGCATATGATCCTATGCTCCAGGGAATACATCTGAAGTCACAGAATGGTATCAAATGATATGAATAGCAACTGAACTTAAGCCACTGATTTAAAACAAGGATTATTTTCAGATTAAAGTCATGGTTAAACATAAAAATATTCACTTAATCCCTGAGTCCTACTAGCTTCATCTAGGTTCTGCAGTTTTACTAATGTACAATGTTATGTAGTGGGAATGGTGACAATCACATTATTGTGGTAAATTTCAATGCAGTGCTACATTGCTCCCACAAATGCTTTTGCCAATGCTTTGTAAAGAACAGACCGGGCTGTGGGTTCCATACTGCCACTATAGAGAATCTTACCTAGACCTATCCTGTTGGGGCTGGTCTCCCGGCTGCATCCCTGGCTCCGAGGGACTTTGCTGCGCTTGTCCGCAGATGACGGTACGGGGTGTGCCCTGGATGTGCCACTGCTCAGTCCACCATATGCACTTCCTAGCAATTTGCCAGGGGAGCTGGATCGACTCCCAGCTAGAAAAGAACCACAGGTCATCAGAGTAATTCAAAACAACTGACTTCATCTGAATTCAGTGGTGAGTTTTACATATCCATTAATGTAGGGAAAGTTCAAGATTGATTTGCTCTAGAAGTTATTGCTTTCTGTACAATTCTCATCTAGCACCACGTTTCAAATGAGTTGCATTCCCTTCCTAGTAGCCTTCTTTGCTGGCCATCTTTTGCAACCATATATCAGAAATATGATGGAATGAAAAATTATATATATATAATCTAAAAATAGTCTTAAAATGTAGTCTTTAGTTTAAAATACAAGAACAGAAATTTTCTTAAGACTTTTTATACCGTATGATTGACAGTAACATCTTTTACTTCATAAAGGCCCAACTTCCTCAAACCTTTTGTAGGTATAACCTCCCAAAAGTCAGTACCAGTGAATAATGTTGTGAGAAGTGTGCAACTAGTATGATCATTAGATCACAACAATTGAGAGATCTCATTGTGGTACAGATAGTTGAATTAAGTAGCTTAAAGTAGTGTTTGCCAAAATCATTATAGCGCAATTTGCTTTTCAACCTTTGGGAAGAGGCTAAAGGGGGCAAACTGAGAGAGTTATGATGAGCAACATGAAAGACGGAAAAGAGATGGAAACAAAGTAGAAAACAGGGGGAAAAGTTTCTTACCACCAGCGGGGTTAGCTGATCTGGATCCTGGATTATGAGAGCAGACGAAAGGACAGGCAGAGAGTGAATTAGAGAAAGCAGGACAACACAGAATTTCCAAGGCGCATTGTCTGTTACATGCAACACCAATTGCATTTTAACACATTGCTGTTCACATTTTGCAATACATCTTGGGTTAATACACAGCACGTATTCGTACACAGACATGTATTGTGTGAGTTGACAAATCACCATCTAGGGATAAATTAAAACAACTGCAGTCCCTACATAAAGCCACGATCTGTGATACCATGTACTGACACAGAGGACAGTGGCTGCACAGCTCTTTAGTATGTCCATCCTGACAGAAACAAGAGCAACATAGAAAGGATATGCAAGCCCATTGCAGATCACTGAAAAGTAACACACATATAAGCAGGGGCCTTGGAAGACCAGGATGGATGGCAAGTTCACAAGTTAGTATCCAACAGGAATCAGCAGTCCCACTAGGATTCTTGCTCCTATAACAACTTACTAACTTTGTTAGGAGTGTAGAACAGAAAGAAATAGAAGTGTTTTAATTGTTTTTAACCTTGTTTAGATTTTTCTTCTGTATGTTATATACAAGATTGCAAAATTCAAATGCCAGATTCTCCATCAAAATTTCAGGGAATTGCTTTTAAGGATTGTATTGAATGTTTTGCCTTATATGTTAGAAACCGCCCTGAGACCCACTGGGGAGATAGGGTGGTATAAAGTTGTTGATGTTATTATTATTATCATCATCATTATTTGAAACACAACAAGATGAGTCCACAGCAGGTAAGATCACTCTGCTGGCTGTTGTATTGGATCATATGTCAGACACTTCCCAAGTGTCTAGGACTGTGTGATGTATCGGTTATTATTATTATTATTATTATTATTATTATTATTATTATTGCTCACTTTTCCTATTTTTTAAAAAAACTGCTGTATTTTTTCAGATTTAAAGCAGGGACAGCAGATATGACTTCTCAAATACTGTTGGATTCTTATTTTCCATCAGACCAAGCCAATATGCCCCATGAAAAAAGATGATGGCAGCTGGATAACATCTGGAAGGCTGAAGATTCTTCATTCCTTCTCTTATAAGTCAATTAGGCTCCTGGGGGATTTAAGCATTTCTCTGCCATGACAAACCTTTAAAAGTTAATTCTGTCTTAAACAGAATTTAAGAACTGCCGGATTCCAAGATTAAGCCTTTAGTAATCTATCTAAAATTGCATAACATGGAAAAACTTTAAGAGGGGGACAAGCTATCTGGATTAGTGTACATCTTTCTGCTGGTAAACACAAGAAAACTATCTTCACTATAACCATCAATTTAAAATACATTTACTGGAATTCTAAACTATTTCTTTGCAATAATTACTCTTATATATTAGGCATGTTTATATTGTTTATATTGATATGTTTTTAATTCCATGTCAAATTATGACATGTTTTATTATTTAATTGATAATTGCATGTTATTATCGTTATGTTAGGTTTCTGCATGTGAGGCATTAAATTTTGCCATAATTGTGTTGGGAACCACTTTAAGTCCCCTGCTGGGGTGAGAAAAGCGGTATACAAGTGAAGTAAATAAATAAATAATAAATAAATGCTAACCTGAGTTGGAGATGGTCATGTCAGTAAGCATCAAAATGAGTATCAACCTATGATGAAAAAGTAATCTACCTATCTTATCAGTGAACATCCGACACTCTTTCTGCAAATAGAGGAGAAAAGGACTGGGACCACACACAAAAAATAACGACACAACAGAAAGAGAAGGTAGTCTCTAGTAGGCTGAAGAAGTTGAAACTGGCAAGAAAAATAAAAATCTGGCTACTAATAACTTGAAGACATATTGAATTTTCTATTTAAATCTGTGTGCCATGCCTTAGCAAGTTGGCCTCATAGAGACTGTGTACGAAATAATAAAAATAGAATCAAAACTGGTTGGAGTAAATAACATGAAAGATGACACAAACACTTTTCTTTTTCAAGAGGAGTGGTGGGATATACGGCTTCTTGTACAAGACCAGACAAAATGGCTTCTTACGCTGAGACTGTGAAACTACTTTAGCCCGGCTTCGTCCACGAGTGTCAGCTGGGGTTGAGGTGATACTAGTGGCACTTCCAGAGCTTTGCCTCCTTGTGCGAATACGGCCTAGGGAAAACACACACAAAAAGAAGTCGAGCAGTTCAAGTGAAATTTAACAAAAAATGTTCCCATTTTTTCTGACTAACTAACTTGACATAGGCACCCTCAAATACAATTATTTTTTGTCACAAAGTTAGTACCTAAAGTTGCCCCCACAAGTGGAGCTTATCAATGGTTCAGTTTATTCTGTGAGGAAGACAAAAATTCTTGCATATCACAGAATACTATCCAAATCCAAACCAATTCAGTTATTTTCAATTGTGATGTGTTCTCTTACGTAGGAAGAGTCACATGAAAATCAGTCATACAGGGCTCTTTCATACCTATGAGATATTATCTCCATTACACTCTGTGTATCACTGACAGTTTTCTCTCTGAGACTGTGGCTCATAGCATAAGAAGAATTAATTCTTCTTTTGGCAATTCATTAACAAAATAAATGAGAGTTTATGAAAGTATATTAAGAACCCCCGGAGCTGTGGAACTAATATCTATAGTTTTCCTTGTATCTGGGAAAAATGTTTCTCTTAGAATTTGCTAGGGTCTCCAGCCAATTCTATGGAAGCTACCACAAAGTTATGCTGGAGGATTTAGCTAATTCCTAGAGGCGATGCCTCAATGCGACTCTTCAGGTCCTCCAGGGAAATTCTATGGAATACTAGGAACAAAATAAGGTGTTCAGGTGTATCTGTGGGTTTCAGGTAACTGCAGTCCGGCTGGGAATATAAGCCCGCAGATACACGGATCTTGCTATATCTTTATAATGACAATACAAAGGAAAGCAAGAACAACTGCCATATTTCTTCAATTGTAAGACATCATCGATTGTAAGACTCACCCTAATTTCAGTACCATAACACCACCAACTAAAATACACAAGATACACCTGCAATTCTAAAACACACCCCTTTTTTAGAAATGTGTTTATATACAAAAAATAATGTTTTTTAGAATGGAAGAAATTCAGTATAGTCAGACTGTTTAACCATTCCTTGAACTGGGCCCTTATAAAAGACAACAGTAACAGCTGGGCTGTTCTTCGACATTTCCTTATCTCAGGGCCACCAAATATCAACGGGCACATGAAAATGAACAAAAAGGTAGCAGCTGAAGACAATGCCCAGTGCCAGTTCCTGATGGGCAAGTTTGGCTTTATACATATAAGATTTCACACATTCCATTTCTATTTTGTTGTGTTGTGATCAACTTTGAGGACTGTGTTCTAAAAACAAGTGACAAATTCATTAAATACATGAATACTGTACACCATTGGTTCCCAAACTTCTTGATTCGCGAAGCACTTCTTTATAATGAATTTCAATGGGGGAGCCTCTTAGGTCTATCCTATGTCTTACAAGTTAATGGTGTTTAGGAGTAGTGTTATGGGGGGAGGAAGAGGGGATAAATAGTAAGGGAATGTAAAGTACACAAATATCTAAACAATTGTGCAATGTCCATGCAATGAAATGGTATTTCAAAAACTTTGAAATTTATCATAATATCTCAATTTATTCCTAATTACCACCAATGCACATGATATTGTCAAAATATGGCTAAACATAAAAATTCTTCAAAAGGTCAATAAATCAAATCTTTTGCATTACAGCAGAACTAGAGTGCACTGTAGGGCAACAGTAGGTCTAAATTAAGACATAACGTAACATATAAACGTTTAATATAAACACTTGTAGTTGCTTTTTTTTTTTTTTGCACAGTGGCAAATTAAACTTGGCAAATTTCCGTTCAGAATGCAATTTCTAGTTTTCTTATTTTGATTCGACTTTTTGTTTCTTATTCTTTAATTTCATTCAATTTTCATAGATTTTGTTTTCCTGGTATGGCCACGGAGCCCCTGGGAAGTGCACACAGAGCCCTTGGACCACAAGCTGGGAACCACTGCTGTACACAATAAGATAACATATGGAAGGTAAGGGTTTCAATTAGAAGTATAATATGGAAGGAACACAAGAACCCTGGATCATTGTTAATAATAAGAATAATAATTTTAAAAGAATGTCCCTTAGGAATATGCTGAAGAGGGAATGGTTTTGACCTGAATTACAAATAGGGTTGAGAAGGATTATGACATTGTTGAGGTGGGAAGGAAGCAGAAAGGAGGAAGGAGCCTCTTTTCCTTAGCACATTTCACCTTTTTGGGGCTTTTCTTGCTCCCAAATATTCTGGAGTGACACTTATTTGCTGAAGTGTATTAAAAACACTCTGTTCCTCTTCCTACTCGCTCACTTTTATGCATTATTCTATCTGTAACAGACTTGCACAATACTTAAAATTAGACCTGGGAAATATTACCTTTTGCCTTAACCTATAAGTGTGCTGGCCAATATGGTTCATGTCTCAACTGACTATTTATTTGCAGTATTTGTATACCACCCTTCTCAACCCCTAAGGGGCTAGGGATTCCTGGAATTGTAGTCCCAAAAGTTACTTCTGAAAGCATTGCATAAAATTGAGATGTAGCCTACCAGGTGATTATTGACTCATGGAGGCACAAACATAAACACATCCAAACTGCCCCCTGATATAAACTGGATATAACTCATTAAGAAACAATTGTTTGGCAGAAAATGGGAAGAGAGTGGTCAATATTATCAAATAAACACTAAAACCATATAATATTAAAACCAACAATACATTTAATCTAAAAATAACTGACATAGAATTAATCTGTCTGGCTTCAGCACTCATCGTGCTGATACCTGCAATCTAGAATTAGGAGCAGAAAAAAATAACCTGACTTTTTACAAAGGGTCTCTTTCCTCCTTTTTAAAATCCCTTCTACAGTTGTCTTCAAGCCCTTTTACTAATATTTTAGAAAGCGTATTGTCCTATTAGAATTATACATTGACATTACCTTAAAATACCACAGAAAGCTACTGAAGTCAGCACAATTTAAAGCAACTCTGTAACAGCTGTGAATATCTGAATAAGATTTGGCTTTAGAGATCAGGAATAAAGATTTCCTTACCACCTTTCCCCCAATCTGTATACATAAAACTTCAGTGTTACACTCTGAAACAAATACTGGGAATCTGTATATAATCTGGAAATGTTAAGAATAATTTAGGAATCTACCAAGTTTCATTTTTAACCCAGTTGACTATGTCAGTCATGTGATATAACTCTGAAACGGTCTAGGGAGGACTAGGGGAAGATCTCTGCATGACAGCAAGAGGCTGAGGTAGACGTTGCCCAAAACTTATAAGCATTACATCTGAATCATATTTTGAATGCAGAAAGCAAGAAGATACACAGAAACCAAGAGCTGCAATGAAACAGAAGATATCTGCAGAATTAGGAGTTCTGTAGAAGCAGTAAAAGAGAAAGCTTGGGGGGATTTAGGAAAAGGTACACCATAATGTGACATTTATATATATATTTCGCTTAAAGAATTCCGCTATAAAGTCCAACATTTTCAATTGTACAAACTAGATTAGCCTCCATTGCTTTACATTTTTAAAAAATATATATGTAATCTATCTCATATATACCAATCAATTGTATCTAATATTAATTTAAAATCTGCAATTCATAAAGTGTTCACTGCTGTCCAGCTCCATTCACAGAACTTCAGAGAGAGAAAAATGATGTTCTACTATGCATTGGGCCTAAGAAGAAGGGTGAGACACAGTGAAGACCACTCCACAGTAGTACCATGAGATAAGAGGAGAATACCATGCAAGAGGTCATGCAAAGGCGCCGGTGAACACAAATGGAAACCAAGGGTCACTTGGGTGATGACAAGAGACCTGGTAAAGCCAGAGACAGACCTCAGTTACACACAGAGACTGCTTACCCTCTGCTTTATTGGTAGTACCATCTTTAAGCAATTTTTAAAAAGAAATAAGGAGAGGGATAACAGGGAACAGTTAGTAATATCAGCAGAAAAAAATACCTCCAGTTGAATTAAATACAGTTAGTCAGTTAGTCCTTCAAACAGAAATGTACTTTCCATGCACCTGAAGGTAGAAGAGGCATGAGACACCAGTGGTCAACAGCCCAATATGCTTTTCTTTTATTGAATTTCTTGAACCTTTTATGTTGTTGTTGTTGTTGTTGTTGTTGTTGTTGTTATTATTATTATTATTATTATTATTATTATTATTATTATTATCAGCAACAACTTTATTCTTATACTCCGTCACCATCTCCCCGAAGGAACTCAGGGTGGCTTACATATGGGACAGAATGTCCACAAAATATACAAGCAAAAACAATCCATAAAACAAAACAAATTAAAATAAAAGCATCATAAAATATACCAACCCAGATAAAAACACACTAAAACAAAAAAGTATAAAACCACTTGCATTGGAGCTCCATCAGACAGTGACCAGGATTACTAAAATGGTCATGTCCAAGCTAAGCTGCGCTGGGCAAGGGGATAATGCATGTTGGAAATAGCAGCCTCCCAAGCCTTTCACTATTCATTTGTTAATATATATATTTACTAACCTGTATTCCATGTGTAAGTTGATTTGCCAGTTTGACTTACCACTTTGGTGTAGGAGGGGTTATAGACATGTGATTGTACTGAGCATGTTCAAACTCAGGACTCCCTTTTGTATTCAGTCTGCTGAACACCTCAGTGGAGGTGAATGTATGTGTTTGGACTTTAATGGATGCATGTATGACTTATGGACTTTAGTGAGTACAACTATACCTAAAGACTATTGATAGAAGGATACCCTGTGTACTCAACACAGAGAAGAACTACATCCTATTTATAACCGAACTTTAATAAGAAATGTGCCTGTATGGTGAATTAATACAACATCTTTGTGAGTAAACAAGACTTGTTATTTTCTAAAGATGACTTTTTTAAATTTCTGAGTGCATACTTTAACTAAGAGTTTTCAAGGGAGTGTATATCTTTTTGGGCAATTACAAATACAAATTTCAACTTCAAAGAAGCAATCATCCTCTGCTAACCCAATATATTTTTGTAGTGGAATGTCTTTATCCTTGGCAGTTTAAATACATGGTTCTTCAGTTTAACAGCTGAGTTACTTGTGTGCCATTACATGAATGCTTGTGAATATCAGTTGTTTAAAGGGCTGGCTTCTAACAAGGCCATGCTTTTCTTGACTAGTGGTTTTCAAAAGGTGGTCTTCATATATTAATGGGGATTCATATTTTCCAAATGGATGTGACATCATTTATAACTTTTCAATAAGGTTGTGGTGCAGTTATTTCCAATATGTTATAGATTTTCCAATAGTGCAAATAGCGTACTATAGGGCCAGGGAAGTGGATGAAGTGCAAAACAGAGTACTATCTGGCAACCTAGAGACTGGGCATTTATAAATAGGACTAGATGCATTTGAATGCTTGTTGGAACATCCAAGTTTTCAAATCCCTGCAAAAGGAAGACAGTGTGGAGGGTTGCCTAATCTCCCTGGGAAGGATGTTCCAAAGGGTGGGGGGCACCACCGAGAAGGCCCTTTCTGTCATCCCCACCAGTCGTGCTTCTGATGGTGGTGGAAGTGAGATGAGGGTCTCCCTGGCAGATCTTAGAACTTGCACTGGTTCATAGGGGGAGATGCAATCATGAAGACAGATGGGGCCCGAACCATTTAGGGCTTTGTAGGTCATAATTTGTACCTTGAACTGTACCGGAAACTTATCGGCAGCCAGTGGAGCTGCTTTAATAGGGACGTTGTTATTTCCTTAACCTTTACTACAATTTTGTCCCAATTCATCTATCATCTTTTCTGCTGTCCCACTTGTAATTCTACTGTACTTTTAATATTATTTTTAAAAGTTTTGAAAAGTTTTATATAGGACAATTTCAAAACACCATCAATATACTATGGATATTGGACAACCATAAGATCATCCTGCATTTTAGTGCAGATATACCCGTAATTGCAACAATAGCTCCATCTGCTGACACAATGACATTATCACATAAAATATGGAACAATTTTAACATAGATAGGTAACATGATACATTCCCCTCTCCTTTTTTTCCCCATCCCCTTTGGCTTTTGAATGGCTCTGAAGCTCTTAAATGAGTTTCCCCATGCATTGAAGACAGAAGAAAAGAAAAATGAATTTTCTTTAATTACAGTAAGTATTATCGTTTTTAAATACGGCAGGACAGATTGAGAAAACACAGTGGTGTGGAAAGTGGATCCAAATGCTATACTCCAAGTTAACTAGATGCCTATAAATATATCCCTATAGGGACATGTTTGTGTAAAAACCAATTTTCTTAGCCTCTACTTTTATTTATTTATTTATTTATTTATTTTGCTTGTATACCGCAATTTCTCAGCCTTGTAGGCGACAACGCGGTTTACAACAAGAGCAAAACTCAATCCAACAGCATACAAAATTTAAAAACCATTAACAGCATAATATACAAAATATCCCCTAGGACCTATTGTAATTTGTGTCACCATGAAGACAAAGGTACAAAAATAAAAATACACACAGCTAATGGAAATGCAGGGACCCCATACATAATAATTTGCAGTTTCCAGAGAAAAAAGTAACCATGGTAACAAGAACAGAACTACCTAAAAAGCATAACTACCTGAGAACCGACAAACAAAACAGGCTAAATATGGTTCATACACGACCTAAACATTTTTGAAATTACAAAAAGCAAATAAAAGTAATCATCTCAATGTATATTTATATATACAAGCATACATACTGAGGTGTGAGTGTGTATGCACATGAGAACGCAGACACACACACACACACACACACACACACACAATTTAAATTGTGGAAGACATTATCCTCCTTTGAATACAGACAGGGAGAAGATTACAAGACTAGCTTCAGGAAAAGCAAAATAATAAATATAGGAAAGGTCACACGGATTCTGTGATGATGACAAAAACCACTTCTTCCCATAAGATATCCAGTTTAAAAATAATGCAACAAGTAAGAAGAGGGCATTATCTCCATATTTTTAGGGTAAATAATTATCTTTCTCAAACTCAAAATATCTTTCTTTGTAGCCCTCTGCAAACACAGTCCCAAAGGTTTTAGAAAATTTCCCTGCCCAGAATGATAGGTAACATTTGAAGGTTGCTGCAGGTTTTCACATTGGCAGAGCCCCTTTCTCAGGCAAGAGAGGACATCAGCAAGGCAAGTACACACTAGCAAGAGCACCAGAGCAGTGTGACATTCCATATATTTGCTACTGCAGTCTTCAAACATGTATCACCAAATACTGGTTGTACCACCTACTACTATAACCATACTACTAAAAAAAGTAACTTCCTCTGACAAATCAAGCTAATACTAATTTTACAATCAGATTTGCCCTAAACCTTTATTCAGCATTACTGACATAATACATGTATTGCTGAGCTGTCCATTAAGAATAACTAATATAAAATTAGAGAAGGGAACCTATTCTTACTACTTTCTATTTCAATTGAAATCTACTTTTATCTATTCCTATTGGTACAGAAATATACCAATTTACACTGGCACTTGATACTGAACTCTGACAATTGTAACAACCTGTGTCATCTTTTCCTTTTTTGTGTCCTTCTCTAGGATTTCAGATATATCATGTTCATTTTGTTAGACAATCCACAATTGTTTATTGGAGAAAACAGCAAAACTACCATAAGTCAAAAGACACCCTTTTTCAAAAAAAGCCAAGCTTTATTTCAAAACTTTGAAATGTTAAGTGGTAGCACTAATATATGAGGATTAAGTCACTAAAATAGTAAAAATAAAATTTATGACATTAAGAGGAATATTTAAGATTAATAGTTTACGTGGTTCATACATTGGTTTATGATGTGACATGAAGAGAAAAGTTGAATGTTGCTTTATTTATTTATTTTTATCCCACTTTTCTCCCAGATCAGGACTCAAAGTGACGCACAACATATAAACAAAAGAGAAATTACATACCACAAAACATAATCAAAACCACAGCATATTTTAATAAAGCTATTGGATGTTCACAATTCTAATTTAAAACCATGTTGAAAATGTTACTGAATGGAAGGTTTGATAAAAAGTAATCCTTTGAGACAGTTATTTCCTACCTGAACTCTATTAAGTTAAACATCTTGCATAAAAGAACACACTGTTAACTTCTACTTATGTAAAGGATGCTGCCTTCCAAGCTGTATTTCCCTCTGAGTTGCATTTCTTCCTTGAAGTCCTGTATATCTATCCATCGCATGTATGAGAAAGCAAAAAAGCTTACCTAGGGATGCATATGAACCGGGCGGCAGGGCTGCAGCAGAGCTGAATGGGGCATCTGATCCAGAAGAAGTTACTTTCGATTTGGCACTGGCTGCTGCATTCACGTCAATGTCACTGCGAGAACGTTGGAGAGACCCGGACGTTGACACAGATTTTGCACTTACAGTAGAAGCTATGACCAAGAAGATAAACTGCATCATGAAAGATCATATACTTTAACACAGCTACAAAAGATCTTTAGCATATGTCTGAATTTCTTCCAGGGAAATTAGGAATGTTAGAGAGGCTCCTTCTTGCTGCCACTCAGAATTATTCATTACAAAAGAGATCCTATACGTTATTTCTCTAGGGAAACTGTCATAATATAGAACAAATTAAATTTACAATATTAATCAAAATAGACAAGATCAAACTAACAGATACAGACCATTTAATTTAATCAATGCAATTTAAACTACTAATTTAATCAATTCAGTTCCCATCAACAACACCTAAACTAATCTAGGCAAAGAGAAGGATGTAACAACAGCATAACATTATTGAACATCTAGCAGTCTGGGAATACTGCATTATTATGTATGATCTTTGGTTCCTATAACCAATTTTGTCATTGATTTTTGGGATTGCTTTAAATCTTTTCTAAAAATATATTCCCTTTTATTAAAAAATGTTTAAAATGTGCTTTTTATCTGTCGTACATGGTAACTGGTGGATTGAAAAGCAATAAATAAATATGCTATTATTGTCGAAGGCTTTCATGGCCGGAATCACTGGGTTGTTGTAGGTTTTTTCGGGCTGTATGGCCATGGTCTAGAGGCATTCTCTCCTGAGGATGCTTGCCATAGATGCAGGCGAAATGTCAGGAGAGAATGCCTCTAGACCATGGACATACAGCCCGAAAAAACCTACAACAACCCAATATGCTATTATTTTTTAAAAGATGAATAGTGATACATATGGACCTCTGAGCTTTCTCACATCCTGCTCTAGCTTACTATAACAAATTCAAAAATTGAGCTCATTTACAAGATATTTATTAATCTCTTGACTGCAGCAAAACTTTCAATTACTTCATTAGGATATGGGGTGCTGAATCAATGATAAACTGATTATTATGTAAAGAAAAGGGGAAATAATGAAATTGAATATAAGTTTGTTGAGATGTGGAGGATTTTTGATTTGCTGAATAGTACATTTGATGATAATGTTTACCCATACTGTTTTCTGTTTTTGATTCAGTCATTGAAAGATAGCGTTCATCTAATGATATTGATGTAATGTCATAAACGAATTAACAAAATAAAAAAGTGAACACTGAAATCAACCGTCTGTTTCTCAGGAAAAAAAACATAGAAAATGCTGAAAGCTGCAATAATTTTGTTTTAACATCTGCTGCTAGACAGTGCTGTCATCAGCAGCCATTTATTTATAATTCTGTGCACTGAGACTACATACAAATGTACTAAAGCCAGAAAAGGTTACGACAAAAACATGTCAGGAAGGGACCCCAGAAGTGGAAGCAGGAAATCAGCTTTGGTGCTGCTCCTGTTGTGAGAGAATTGGTCGTCTGCAAGGACGTTGCCCAGGGGACACCTGGATGATTTTTGATGTTTTATCATCCTTGTGGGAGGCTTCTCTCATGTCCCCGCATGAGGAGCTGGAGCTAATAGAGGGGAGCTCATCCGCCTCTCCCCGGATTCGAACCTGCGACCTGTCGGTCTTCAGTCCTGTCGGCACAGTGCTTTAACCCACTGCGCCACCGATGGCTCCTTATAAGATTGCACGAAACAGGAGCTTCCTTATTTGCAATGTTTCTAGGTGCTGTTCCAAATGTGTGTGTAAAGGAATAGGTCCCAAAACCATTAGGATCACCTATGTCAGTTCACCCAGCCCTGAAAACAAAAGTGTGGGTACAAGACAACTACCACCCATGCTACTTTTCTTATCTTCAATACCTCTATGTCCTGCCATCAAGTATATGACAGTGCTGATTCCGGAAGCACTCACAATAAGTACATTAGTAATCCCATCCGCAAAAGAAAAGACTCCTGGAGCATCTTGCACATTGTACCAACCAAGGTGCAGGCTCCGATTAGAACAATCCTCATCACATCATGCCTTAAACCAGTTGTTCTCAACCTGTGGGTCCCCAGGTGTTTTGGCCTACAACTCCCAGAAACAACTCCCAGAAATCCCAGCCAGTTTACCAGCTGTTACGATTTCTGGGAGACAGCCAAAACATCTGGAGACCCACAAGTTGAGAATCACTGCCTTAAAGTCAAGTGCAATATTAACACTTTATTATTAAAATGAGCTTGTGAGGGTGGTGGAAACGAGAGAAGAGCCTTCCCGGATGATCTTAAAGAACGTGCTGGCTCAAAAAGAAAGATGTGGTCATGAAGATTGTAGGTAAAGGATGTTTCAACAGAGGTTGGTGTAAAATGTTTAGGCTAGATGTATCTCCTTTGTGTACATCTAAGGCAGACCTGCACAACCTTTGTACCTCCAAGTGTTTAGGCCTCCACCTCCCAGAAATCCAAGCCAGTTTATCCTATGTTCAGGATTTCTGGGAGCTGAAGTCCAAAACACCTGGAGGGCCACAAGCTGTGCAGCCCTGTTTTAGGGTTTTAGAAGGAATTATATATTACATTGGCAAGCCTGGCTTACCCAAAAGCATGTATACTAATTTACATAGATGTAGATGAGGGGTGGCAGGGGAAAGAGTTTCTTAATTCTTTGCACATACTTCCATTACCACGCATGCTCAGGTCCCTCATTCTTACCTCGTGATGTCGTGCTTCCTGTTGGGCTTCTTTTGGCAGACAGTGGACGACTAAAAGGAGATAGAAACAAATGATTTCAATTAAATCCTTCTCCTCTGCCTAAGTTATCTCAAAAGGGAGGTGTGTACTGTTATATGGAAGCAGCCATTAAAAAAGGTCTCAAGAAGGGCTGAATCACAGGAGAAGGAAAGGACTGGACATTTTCTTTCTATGAACTTCTTTTGTCCTTCTCATAGACACTACTTCAAAAATATGGCCTCAGAGGGAAGTGCATTTGAATTTCCTACTGATGAACATAGAATTTGGAGAGGGGATGGTAACATCTTTCTTAAGCTAATTTATCTCAGGATTCGTGACTGATTTTTAACTATTCCTTCCTCCCACTAGACTATTCCACTCTGGCCAAAGCTACACTGATTAAGATGAGCCATGAACATCCAGATCTTAGAAGGTTGTTTCTAAGATTCCATCATTGAACTTTCTTAAATTAATCCTTTTTAGAATCTAAGCCCATGCCTCTAGACCAGGGGTAGGGAACCTTTGGCCCTCCAGCTGTGGTGGACTTCAACTCCCACAATTCCTTGAGGCTCGGCATTGGGCCAAGGTAAGCCTTTGGGGCGAATGCCGAGCCTCAAGGAATTGTGGGAGTTGAAGTCCACCACAGCTGGAGGGCCAAAGGTTCCCTACCCCTGCTCTAGACATTTGCTCCAATTCCGAATTCACTCTAACTTGGAAAAATAAAATAGAGATTTGAGCCACTGGATCCCCCAGGCCCAAAGAATCCAAATACATATTTCTCATATTATCATTAAAAAAAACCCCTTTGAAAGAACTCTTGTCAATCACTGAACAAAATAGTAGCAACCTGTTTTGGAACAAGTCTCCACATTACATTATTCACATATAAGAGAAATATCCAAAGAAGGGATTAAAATGAATAAAATCTGGAACTGGGGGACAACAAGTGAAATTATGTAAAAGCATTCTTGTCTATTGCCTTTACTAAGAAAACTGCTTTGCAGTCAGTCTATTCTTATTAATTGAGGGAAGCTTCAATGTGTTCACATATTCATCCTTTTGTCATTTTCCCACTGCTCTTGATAAACAGAAACTCTGATCCTTCTCATTCGTTACTTTTATTTCAGTTTATGAATAAAAGATTAACAGCCAGATCTCACATCTTCCCAACTTATGCAATACTACATAGCAAAAACATGGCTCCAAGGACTTACTTGAGACTCTCCTGGGAGCTAGAAGAGGAGCGGTCTGATTGAGGCAAGGACACAATGCTATCAGAGTTCTTCAAGTGAGATTGTAGAGCCTTCTGGTATGAGGATTCCAATGAATTAAACAAATGTTCTGCTTCCCGACTAAAATGGCCATGGAAGCCCCAGTAACACCTGAGAATTAGAAGTAAAATGATCCTTGAATAATATGTTAGCATAATACAAATAAGTCCTCTGACAGAGCACTCTGCAGAAATAAAAATGCTGGGGGAAACAGATAGGTCTATTTACATCTGTTTTCCGTATCAATTATTTTCCGTATGAATTATTTATATTCCTTCACACAAACTGGATTGGGACTGGGGCAGGGAGCAAAACAAAAGCATCATGACTTGTAACTCTGAAATTAACAGCAACCCCTTAAAATGTTAGACTCTTTAGAATCACTGGACAAAAGATCTTAAAAGCTAACAACATTACTTTCTATATCTGAAAGCTTCTGAATAATCTGTTAAAATCACGCTGATCAAATGCTAATTTCATAAGTATGTCCACATAGAAGTGTTCAATTCAATAAGCCCTGTCTCAAAGAAATTGTGTACAGAATTAACTAGAAGTGAAGGGCACTTCATTGTGGGAAGAGCTGTGCTGACCACAAGCCACAGACTGCACCTAATAAGATTGCATATATTGTTGTATTACTGTATTAACACCACAGTCTGTCCCTCTGTTGGGTGCTTGTTCCTTGGTTCAAAAAACCTGACATTGTCTTTTAATACCTCCACATCAAATAACAATTCTTGCTCACTGATGAAACCAGCACAAAAATCAAAAGATATCCACTTACTTTCTGGCTTTTATGCGTGCTTCAGAGTCAGCATCATGGATTCCTTTCTTTATTGTTTCAGCCAATACTGATATATGCCTGATTGGAAGAGATTAAAAGGCAATGTTATGTACTTTAAAAGAAGAGTGGGGGAGCACTGCTAAAGAATCATACTTTGAGCTTCTGAGACATTTGTACAGCCAATATCCTTTTTGAGGATTTGGGTGTTTTTTCTCATTCCAACCACCTTTATTACTTCTGATTCTCTTGCATAAGACATTCCAGGGAACATTCTTTAGAGGTCACTCCTTAGACCCTTAGAAACCATTGAAAGAATGTGTTGTCGAAGGCTTTCATGGGCAGAATCACGGGGTTGTTGTGAGTTTTCCAGGCTATATGGCCATGTTCCAGAAGCATTCTCTCCTGACGTTTCACCCACATCTATGCAGACATCCTCAGAGGTTGTGAGGAGAGAATGCTTTTGGAACATGGCCATACAGCCCAGAAAACTCACAACACATTGAAAGAACGATGCACAAAGATATTACAGCGCACACGAACGCCCCAAACCATACAAAAATCCATAGGGTGCCTGTAGATCAAGTATCTCTGTCTTAATATTATATATTGAATTGTACTTGAGAAACCAATGGGCTGAACTAATATGACAGGACAGAACATCAACACATTGCAAATGCTCAGGGAGGAAACCTGTCAGAATGGTTTATTGTAGGCTGCTCAGCTTCTGTGAGGAAAGGGAAATGATCAGGAACAGATTTTGCCTAAGGAAAAGAGAACCTGTTTCCTAGGCAGGTGATATAGAGACAACAAGGACTTGGGGATATCATTCAGCAGCATATGTTATATCTATAGAGAAAGCAGTAGAGGTCAGACTTACTTATAGCTCTCTAGGGGAAATCTTTACCTGCAAATTCCTTCCCACTATACCTCAGGGAGAAAGTCAAAGTTGAACTATGTGTCATAGCTAGTCCTGAACATAATTATCTCCAAAATCTTGAAATTTGCTTTCTATTTCATTCCATATGTGTGCAAGACCAAATTTAGTAAATCAAGCTCAGTTCAGCATACACAAAATGAAGGAACATATATCTTTTGTGACAGCAAAGTAGAGCTTGCCTGCCACAGCGTATTAGATCTCAGGCAAATGAAGCTTCACCCAATCGTCTGGAACACAAGGACATAGCCTCAATCAGCATGATGCAATAGATGTAAGCTGTCTCGTCTCTTACAAGATAATTTTAAGGCTAAGAAGTTCTGGATGCTGTCCCTGTAAATTGGAGGAAAACTGTGACATCTTTTTAGCTGTTGTGACAATCTTCTTATGCTCTCTTCTGATGGTCTTTACCCTGTGTTGTTGTTGTTCATTCATTCAGTCGTCTCCGACTCTTCGTGACCTCATGGACCAGCCCACGCCAGAGCTCCCTGTCGGCCGTCACCACCCCCAGCTCCTTCAAGGTCAGTACTCAGTCACTTCAAGGATGCCATCCATCCATCTTGCCCTTGGTCGGCCCCTCTTCCTTTTACCTTCCACCTTCCCCAGCACAATTGTCTTCTCCAGGCTTTGCTGTCTCCTCATGATGTGGCCAAAGTACTTCAACTTTGTCTCTAGTATCCTTCCCTCCAATGAGCAGTCGGGCTTTATTTCCTGGAGGATGGACTGGTTGGATCTTCTCGCAGTCCAATGCACTCTCAGAGCACTTTCCTCCAACACCACAGCTCAAAAGCATCGATCTTCCTTCGCTCAGCCTTCCCTAAGGTCCAGCTCTCACATCCGTAGGTTACTACAGGGAACACCATGGCTTTGACTAGGCGGATCTTTGTTGCCAGTGTGATGTCTCTACTCTTCACTATTTTATCGAGATTGGACATTGCTCTCCTCCCAAGAAGGAAGCGTCTTCTGATTTCCTGGCTACAGTCGGCATCTGCAGTATTCTTTGCACCTAGAAATACAAAGTCTGTCACTACCTCCACGTTTTCTCCCTCTATTTGCCAGTTATCAATCATTCTTGTTGCCATAATCTTGGTTTTTTTGATGTTTAGCCGCAACCCAGCTTTTGCACTTTCTTCTTTCACCTTGATTAGAAGGCTCCTCAGCTCCTCCTCGCTTTCGGCCATCAAGTGGTGTCATCTGCATATCTGAGGTTGTTAATGTTTCTTCCAGCAATTTTCACCCCAGCTTTGCATTCATCCAGCCCCGCACATCTACCCCTGTAGATGACCATAATTCAGCTTTCAGCTATCTACCCAAACTAACAGCATGATTTTGAAACAACAAACTACACGATATGGCTATTTGGCAAATAACTCAACTGCACCTAAGTCTTTCACCCTTTGCCTATAAACTGGAACACCACCAACCTTTTCTAAAATCAAATCTTTAGTCTTTAAACTCAGAATGTTTTCAATACAGTGAGCCTCTTCCCTTGGTGCCACTCGGGTTTTAAAAAGTTTAAACATTTTAAAAAGGATTTAAATATTTTATCTCTCTTTTCCTGATTACCCTTTTTTTAATTTCTCCTCTTCCCTGAGTTTAATAAATATTAACAATATTAACATAATTTAGTGAGCTCTTCAGCTAAAGTACATTCCAGAGTGGTTTACATAAAATCAATAAAAGCAAGTCAATCTTGCCAAGAAGCTAAAAATCTAGAAGACATCTCACAGAAGGAACAAATGAAAATGGAAAAGAAAAACTGGAAAGTCCAAGTGCAAATTCCTTCTGTTACTTAGTATTACCTTGTAATAGTCAGCGGGAAGAGAACTCATTCTGGGATAAGACCTGAGGTATATGGATTTACTGTCTCAGTCTAAGTATTGAAGTGGCCCTAAGTCTTGTCTCTATCTCTGTTGTGACCTACTGTAATGTACCAACTGAAGGAGCCAGAAGCCAGACAGACCTAGTTTCCTCGCCTTAACTTTCCAAAGTCCACCAGACACAAACTGAATGCAGAAAAGAAACATACTTCCTCTTTTATAATACACCTTACCTTTCTAAGGAGTGTGTTTGCCATTCTTGTAAAAGTAAATTTAAAAATTCAAAACAGCGCCTAAAAGAGGAGAAAAAGAAAACAATTACTTTAAATACCCTAAATGACAAGATGCATTTTAAAATTAAGAATATGAAAGGAGTCTTAAATAATATCTTAGTAAGTCCTATAAGCAGACCAACCCTAAAGCCATTAAATATCAGTTATGTAGATTCATTAGGGAAAATGCTGTCACTTTGCAAAAATTCTGGGTATCCTGAGTTCTGTAGCTGTAAAGGCAGCAACCATAATAAACACCTACATGCTCTTCTCTGAGAGTTTGCATCTTGATACTAAGTGAGCCACTTTGGATGATCCAAGAGATTGCTTATGGGGAGATGGGACATAGAATACTACAGCATTTCGAATATATATCTGTATGGTAAATGTTGATAATTTAGAATTTTCCAATATGCATGCAAGGATACAAGATAGAGAAGCACATTCTGAACTTAGCAATAGCATTTACAAACAAAAAGAGGAACATCATGTAATATAATACAAGTAGTATGTAGTACATGGTAGTACATGTAATACATTATCATTTCTATGATGTAAAATAAAAAAATCTGTCCAATCTCATTTTAACTATTGTATCTCTTTTAATTTGTTGCAAATCAACAAAGGTTGGGATAGAATAGCAGCAGAAGCAGCAACAACAGCAACAACAACAATCCTGCACCAAACAGAGATAATACTGGGTTGTTGTAGGTTTTTCCGGGCTATATGGCCATGTTCTGGAGGCAATTTTTCTCCTGATGTTTCGCCTGCGTCTATGGCAAGCATCCTCAGAGGTAATGAGGTCATTACCTCATTACCTCTGAGGATGCTTGCCATAGACGCAGGCAAAACGTCAGGAGAAAAATTGCCTCCAGAACATGGCCATATAACCCGGAAAAACCTACAACAACCCATGGATTCCGGCCATGAAAGCCTTCGACAATACAGAGATAATATTTTTCCCCTCAACCAGAGTTCCACTAAATTCTGGATCCAGAATAATTACAAGCCTGTACACCTACTTGACAAAGGAAATGTCTTTGCTTCTCTCTTTTTAACTCATGGAAAAGCAAGGAAGGCAAGTTGGATTTCTGTCACTAGCAACTTCTGAGAATCTGTACAACGGCCAACACACATTTTGGTGCCTCAAATTTTGGGCCAGTTTCTATGTATATTCAACCTGCTGATTCCAAAACCGACTCCAGTGTTCCCCTATCAGCTCTAGTTTTTGAAATACAGAAGATATGTCATCTACTAGTTGCCTACAGAAGATCATGATAACCATATCTAAGAAGTTAGGGCTGATGTGGTCTATTTAATGCAATGTTATGAATTAGTGCCCCAAACAACTCCAAGAGCAGACCTAAAAAGCAAGACATCAAGGCATTTTGGTTGGGCTATGTTATTTCTTTTCTCTCTTCTGTGCAGCATAAAAATGTAAATCAGTAAGAAACACCAGTAGCAAGCGCAAGGCAATGTCACCTGAAGTCGTCAATGTCACTTTTAACTATCTTTTTACCTAATTCTTGAAATTATGTACAATTTTAGTCCTGAAAAAAATAAGATCAACTAGTATCAAAGTCACCATCCCCTAATCTCCTTTTCTAATTCTAAACTTGCAGTCATATTGACATTAGAAGTTTATAGACCACATTTTAATTGCTCATGGGTCTAAGTTAGGGCATGAGCCTCATATTTCCAAAATATTTATTCTATGAGGCCAAGCCAGATATTAAAACTTTAACAGAAAAAGCAAAAATGCACTTTAACGACCTTTCAGACTCTACCTCTAATTTCATTTTGCAAAGTAATTAAGAAAAAGAAAAACTCACCTTCTAACAGCAACAGCTTTGGAGGTACAATTACTGGTAATTATGGGAATTAGTCGTGGGATGTGCGTATGCTAAGAGTGAAAACAGGAAGAACAAGGAAACTCTGAGTACCATTGAAAGAAAAATTGCTTTAACCGACCTAAATGCTTAGAATGAAGAGGTTGTGCTTTGCTCAAACCAACACAGTGAGAAAGACTTCATAGTCAAATATAACCCTGTCCCCCTCCACAATTAGCAGAATGAAATACATACATGTAAGTAAATGTGCCATCTTAATGTGTATAATAGAAAATCGATCTTTTTCTTGGCAAAGATTTAAGGATTTTTAGTTTAACATCCACAGAATCTGTGATTACATCATTTCAGCTTTTTAAACCACGATGTTGGAAATATGTACAGATTTGTGTACTTTTCACACAGGTAAGATAAAAGTTAATTTTTCACAAAACTAGAATGGAACATCAGTTAGGCCCAGATTTGTAACAGCATTATGTACTAGGACTCAACATGTTTCTGCATGCCTGGTTTCTCATCTGGAATGGGCTTCTTCAGAAATAAATAAATAAATAAAATATTTTCCGACAGATGGGAGTTCATCTCCCCAACAATCTTTCATTGCAGTTTAAGAAATAATTGCTTTAGTACAGATTATCATCATACTATTAAGAGATGGCCAGATGGCAGGGCCAAATTACTTAGGTCTCATGGCTTTGCCATTTTCCAGTTTGGCTACGTTCTATCAAGGAACACTGCAGAAATTAGCACATGAGTGTGTGTCTGTGTGCCTATACAAAGATACAAAAAGCAGCAGGTAATCACTTCTTCCTGAATTCTTCTGAAAATTCTGCCACAAGCTTGCTAATTAGAATGATTTTCATATTTTTATCTACTTGACTGTTCTAATTAGAATGCTCACTCGAGATACTCACTCGAATTATTAATCTAACAGCTACTACACCAGAGGTGGCCATAACTTTGGCACTGTTGGGAATGAGATTAAAAATTGTTGGCATGATGGCTTCTGCCCCATGGTCAAACTTGTTACCCAAGACCGATGATAAGTGCCTGAAAGAAACAACAATAACACAATAGCAGCAGGGTACTGGAAGTCAAAATGGTTATGTCTTGTTTAGCATCATAGGTCACACATACTTTTATTTTGTACATTTTTACAAACTCTGCATCACCACCTCTATGTCCAGGAACAGTGTTGAAACACCCATCACAGCATCTGATGTGATTCGTTTTTATACTCCCTTTAACATGTGAAATTCAGCTCAGGTCACTGTCAACGCTATTAGACACTCCCCCAGAGGGTATGATTAAATTGCTTGGTTTCTTAGCATTGTCGCTTTCAGTCCTGGCCTTCTCCTAAGCTTTCCATCTCTGACATTTGCGAATTTTAGAGCTGCTATTAAAATGTCCTAGTGATCTTCCTCTAAAGACAGTGCTTCCAGCAGTCTCCAGGATAGACCTTGAACCAATGGAAGAACCAGACCAGAAGAATGGCTTGACCTTTCACCCTGAACTTAGTTTGAACCCAAGAGGCTATAGCAGAAATTTCCAGTATTTTTTTTCTTTTTAAAAAACCCTGCTAGTAATTTTGGTGGCATATAAGAAAGCTTTTAGGCACTTAGGACAGGAATAGCTATGCCTTTGTAGAAGTAACTTTAATAGTAATATAGTAATATTATTATATTATTATAGTAATAATAGTAATAACAGCCATGCTCAATTGCTCTCTTTTTGTCACACTCTAAACAAGTATTTCTGTCATCATTCAAATTATTGGTGGGAAACATTTTAGTTTATGCTCTCATAATTGCAGTCTCCAGAATATCCCTCATTGCATTCAGCACAAAGGTTCCTCCACCTCTCAAGACAAAACAATTCATAAATATGACATGCTTAAAAAATCTAGTAAAATAGTTGGTGACATTGCTTTATTTTTTTAGTTATGTATACAAGGATTTTGTGTTGTTATTCAATTTCAAATTGACTCTGACTTATGGCAACCCTATTACAGGATCTTCTTGGTAAGATTTATTTGGAGACTTATTAGAGTCATACTCTAAACAAATATCACCCAGATGACACCCAGTTACAAAATAGTGGGACTTTGGATTCAGGCAGCCAGCTGAATCAGTGAGACTCACACACTCACATACTTCCTTTATGCTCAATATCTATTTACAAATGTCTCTTATGTAAATTATAACCCAAAGAGTATGTGAAACTATTCAGGAACCAGAATGATGTACACATGCATTTAGACAGACTATAATAGGATATTAGAAATATCTGCATCTGAAATAGATTATTCATTAACTGGTTACTGTGGATGCTCAGACTGATGAACAAATAATTGCTTAAATTCTTCCAGTTACTTGATTATTTTTCTACCTAAATGGAAACTGGTGTTTAAACAGGTGGTTACTGGAGAATGCCACTGGAATTAGAAATAATCTCTACTCATTTTCTCATCCAAAAGAACAAACTATCGGGTTTGCCCTTCTTCACAAAGAAATGGAAGAAAATAATATAACTCAGCTTCCAAACAACTGGAAATCATAGATTCACAGTGGCAAGGAAATAAAACAGATGATCTAGACCAGTGGTGGCGATCCTATGGTATGAGTGCCAGATGGGGCACTCAGACTCCTCTCTGCAGCATGCATTATCACCCCAGCACATAGGCATTGCCGCATCACTTCAGGGCTCTCCTAGCGGGAATGCCGCCACAGGAATTGCTGAGGAAGAAAGACAGGTGTTTTTTTTCTTCTTTTCGTGTCAGGAGCAACTTGAGGAACTGCAAGTCGCTTCTGGTGTGAGAAAACTGGCCATCTGCAAGGACATTTGCCCAGGGTACGCTCGGATGTTTTTTGATGTTTTTACCATCCTTGTGGGAGGCTTCTCTCATGTCCCCTATCGGTCTTTAGTCCTGCAGTGTTCAACTGTGTTCATTCTACAATGTAGATGCAACCTCTGACTCCTGTCTTTTCCTTTACCTCAGTCTCTTTACCTCAGCCTCTTAGTAGAGGCTGGCTTGGAATCTCAAGGGACAATCCAGTCCAATCCCCTTCTATATGCAGGAAAAGCACAATCATAGTATCCTAGAGTTGGAAGAGACCCCAAGGAGCCACCCAGTCCACCCCTTTCTGCCATGCAGAAAAAGCAAAATCAAAGCACCCCAAACAAATGGCTATCCAGCTTTTGAAATAATAATAATAACAACACCAATAGCAGCAGCAGTATGAGTTGTTATTTTCTGAAATAAAACCTCAGTACTCAGGCTAAATTGCTGTGTTAGCACTTTGTGATAAATAAGTGGGTTTTGGGTTGCAGTTTGGACACTCGGTCTCTAAAAGGGTCACCATCACTGATCTAGACTCTTGCAGTTCAAGTTGGGATATTTTTACCCTTCCTAGAATAAAAGAGATAAGAGAAAAGATGCTTTCCTATCAGAATAATGAACAACACAAGATATGCAAGTTGTATTCCTTACCCCAACGTGATACAAGCCTCTCTCACTACCTGGGACCGCAAGTCTTTAGCGGATAATTTAAATGCTCCATCAAGCAGACGCAGGTGTTGGAAAAAGGTATCATATTCAGCAGCTCCAGCCAACAATAAAGATCGGATCTTTTTCAACTGTTGCACAAGAATTTAGAAAGTGAAGTTAACAGAGATACTGTCACATTGGTAAGCATATTTCTGATTTATGGCTAGAAGTACAAATGTGTTAAGTAGTGTAGGGATGTTTTAATATTTATTTAGTATATAAAATATTTACATACAGCCCTTTCGTCAATGTTTCAGAACAGATCACAAAAACAAGATTTTTAAAAATAGAAATAAAATAGAAATCTCTTGGGGCTGTATCCAACATTGAATATTTAACCACATATAGCAAATCCCAATGGAAGGGGTTCTCTCTCTTTTCACTCCAGCCTCACAAATACTCTAAAAATCATCCCAAGCCAGTTGAACTGTGAAGGGCAGAAAGAATGTTCATGACCTGATTGAATATTACGTAGATTCCAGCCTTGAGATTTTAAATGAAGCCCATTTAAACTCTTGAAGAGAGATTTGGGGATAGTGGTAGATGACATTATTTACTTACTTACTTAACTTGTATACCACTTTTCTCACCCCAGTGGGGGACTCAAAGTGGTTTACAACATAATTACAGCAAAATTCAATGCCTCACATACAGAAACATAATATGATAATAGCATACAATAGACATGTTCTAACATGGAGGGCTACATTGGAACACACAGTCTCTCTGAAAATAAAGATTAAATGTTGTCTTTGGAGTTCTTTTTCTCTTATTTTTAGAATTTTCAGATATATAATAATGATATTGAATGCAGAAAAAAAATCTGTTTCGTTCCACGAACATGCAAGCATAGTAAGATTATTATTACTGTTATTATTACTGTTATATGCAAGTATGACATAAGGGTCAAAAAGTGGTAAAATATCCATTAAGTAGATTATTTTATATAAGGTTTTGTATAAAGTGAAATGCTTACTGCAGATACTCTCTGTTCCCAATCATGTTTGTCATCTGACAGGATTTCTCTGATTTTGTTTATGGATTCTTCAAGGTCTCGACTAGAATAAATCTACGAAGAGAAAGAGATTTAAGATTCAAATATTTATTCCTTAGATACTGAACATATTCATTTCTCAATTTATCAAACGAATTACAGAACTTATTCACATACTTTAAAAATGTTATATATTACACATTAAAGACAATGTTACTAACGTTACTCCAGAACCCAATTAACACACTTAACCACAGGAGCTTCCTTCTTTGTTATGTTATTAAGTTAGCATTAAGAGAATTAAAGAACTCTATAATTTAAATAAAGATAAAATAAGTACTTGATATTCTTAAAAAGCATTCATGCTGATTCAGAGAGAGGCTTCTGTCAGCAGATGGAATACAAATGTGGATACAAACCCAGTATGACATGTTGTCTATATAATCTGTATTGAATTAAACTGAAGTTTATATCCATTTATGATTTAGTTCTACACATTTTAGATTTATACTGAATTCATTGTACTATGTATGCAATTGTCTAGAGCTTTTAAAGCATTTCCCCTTACCCCATATGCCAGGGAAGACTATCCGACACCTACTAATTGCCAATGCACCAATCATCCTGGAGTTAACATGTCATTTAAACTCTTTGTCTAAAAAACTAAATATTTGCTCAAATCTGTCCATAGGCTAATTAATCTTGGCTGTGTTTGACCTTTATTTCCCTGTTTTACATAACATAAGGACACATTTACATGACATAGGGAGCTTGCAAGATGAATGGATTGAATTAATCATATTGTTCCAAGTTCTGGGCTTGCTGAAATGAATGTAAACAAGTAAGCTTATCTCGGTCAGAGACAAATCTTACTGAAGTATTTCTACAGCAGACTCTAGCTAGAATTTTGGCGAATATAGTAAGTGCTTTGATCTCCTTATCATTTATTAACAGATTTTTTGCAGCAACATATGTTTATAAAATGTTATGATTTCAATGCTGTTTTATTTTACTTACTAGGTTTCCCTCTTGCTTCTTGGCATAACTAATCTGTTTTCAGGTTCAGGCCATATGCACAGCTATCTGGCTAAAATATTTTTCAGGTATGGAGGGAATCATAAGGTGGATCTGCACTAGTGAAGACAAACCTCACTCAGTTCTTTTCTCGTAGGCTTTCAAATAGAATGTGTTGAAAAGAAAAGGCTTTGCTAGTAGGGGCAACCCATATTCTACAGGATAGGACTGAGCTCCGGCAGGTGAAGACCTTGTATTAAGAGTTTGGGGCCATGAGTAATAGATTAATGCCACTATGGATATTGCTGTGATACAGGATAGTGGAGAGAAACAAGGAGGGAGACTGATGTCACAAACACAGGTTAGTGGCAGAACTAACAAGTTCACTGTACCTAAGACAGGAGTGTCAAACCCATTTTCAATGAGGGCCATATCAGCCTTATGGTTGCCTTAAAAAGGCCATTGAATCCATTGATGGAAAACTAACTATATTTTTTTTACATAGGATTGGTGCTCTTTAAACAATGAGTTTCCTGATGTTATTGAATGACAACTCACATCACTTATTCTTACCTGCCATACTACTGGGGGTAATGAACTTGTGGCCATTTTAAAGTCAAGAATCATATCCACAAGCCTTGTATCTCAATTCAAATCCCAGTCTCCTGACTAAGCAGAACAAACTACACCTTCCAGATGTTACTGCATCACAATTCCCATCAGCTCTAACCATGATGTCTAATGACGAGGAAGACAGGAGTTGTGATCTAGCATTTGGAGAGCTACATAAAATGTAATAGTGGGCTGTGTTCAGTGTATGACACATGTGATCTAAGACATTGGAAGCACCACTCATGTCTTTGCATGCAAGAACAGTTTCCCACTGTGTCTTTAAATAAAATCCGTTTTAACCATGAATAAAGTACTGTTGTTTTGTTTTATTTTGGATTTAATCAAGTCACTATTTACCTGAACTGTTGGGACATCTTCAAACGCTTTAATGAAGTCTTCCTCATCAACAGCACCAGCCCCTTCTTTAGTTGCTGGAAATTACAGAAGGAGAAACAGGAATTATTGATTTAATTTGCCAGAGTTAACACAAAGATGGAAAGCAACAGAACAAACAAGCCAACCAAAGCATAAAATAAGTCATTTTTATATTTAAAACTACATGCAAAAATCTATATTAAATAGGGACAGAAAAGAGAAAGAAATATAGAAGAAGAAAGAACGATCTGTACACACTGATGTTTCCTTACCAAGATCATTAAAAAGAGACTAACATAAGATAGGATTTACCCCGATCTCAAAGGATGCCTTTTCCTTTAGAGAAGGCTACATCTATAATTAATGAGAATTGTGGTATTCCTGACAAGGACATATGACGAAGAAAAGTGGATGGACAGAAGAAGGAAAACTTTTGAAACATTAATTAGATTGGGGCTATTGTTTGATTGATATATTCTGGAAGGTTTCTGAAGAGGTACCACTTGGAAATACATTTCTCAGTTATTTTCCCCTTACACAGAGAGAATTTATTAGAAAGATATTCTGGACATTTGGAAAAGAACTGGCTTTGTAGGAACCTCCACTAACTACACGTGAATTTAGTTTTTAACATAACAGTTGAAATACCATTTTTAAACTGTTGAGGACTTATATGATAGATAGATAGATAGATACGTTTTATTGATTGGCCTATTGGCCGTATCAAAACATTTAACACATAACACAATTAACACATAGTCATACATAGTCATACATACAACATACAACCCTCGGTATAAAAGAAGTTAAAATAAACAAGCTGTCAACAAGATCTCGTTCAGGTCAAATGTCTGCGTCACCTCCACAGCTTACCCCAATCGATTCCAAATGTGCAATTCTCAGCTGTGTTGCTTTGAATAGAAAAAGGGCTGTTTTGTGTGTTATTTTAGGGTTCTGGCCGGCCAACAAAAATGAAAATAAAGTTTCTCTACAAATTTGAATTTATATATAGTCTCATGCAAACACAAATCTATTTCAAAATACTTAGTAAAAATCTTTCACTATGTTCCCAAAACCAACAAGTCAAACAAGGTCCCAGCTGTATTGTTCAGTTATTTCATCAAGCGACACCGAAATGGGCATTACAAAAACAAAATGGCAATAAAAATACGACAAGTCTTTGGGTCAAACTTGTGATATTTAATGGCCTGACCTACCTGGAGCCTTTGAGACTACAGCTGCTGTTCCAACTCTGCGGGCAGTCCCCACCCCACTTTTTCGCACAGATGGAGCCTTTGAAGACGTTGAGGAGCTGGCTGAGGAAGGCCTGTTCCCATCCACAGAGTCATCATCATCAAAATTTTTATCTGAAAAAGATGCACAAGATGCAATTCAGAGATTTGCCGATATTTGCCACCTGTTTTGGAGCAAATTGCTCAGAAGAGAGGGAAAACCTGCTTAAATTTAGAAACAGAATTCCCAACCGTCAATTCTATGAACCTATTAATTTCCAAAACAGAGATTCAACAATATTATTTCACTGATATTTCTTTGACAGGCAAGAGAAGACTCTGTCAAGTATTTGTATGTAGCTTTGTTTACCAAACACTGCTTAAATGAGTTCACAATGAACAAGGTAAGGTTAGGAAAGTTCCTTTTATGGATTACAATTGTTAGAATTTACCTAATGCAGAGCAAAACCACATTCCATGGGTTTGCCCCATGTTGTAGGAGCAAAATGGACCCACGTAAATACCACAGAGGGAATTCCCTCCCATTTTTGCAATATATGGTCCAAGTACATGGGCCCTACGTCAGTTCATTTTGCTCAGAACAAAATGAGAATTTATAGGTGAAGTTTCCACTCTCCTGCTTAGGGTGTAGGGATGGAAGTATTTTTTTTAACGTTCAAAAAATGTGGCTCTCGCATGTGGAGAATTTTGTCAAAAGTCAATGGGACGAATAGTACACATAATCTCCACGTGCATTTTGGCAAGGAAAGGGTCTTCCGTGCACCATCACATGACACATGGCAGGCCCTGCTCAGTTTCCTCCCAAAGTTGGTTGCCGTCCTTTTTGCCATCTGATGGGGAGAGGGAAAGGGTGCCAGTTCCCTCCATGTGATGAGGGGAGGAGAGAGGGTGTTTGGGGTGTCATTAGCCACCCCACGCACCTTCCCTTTCACTGGCAATTGTTGCCATAACAGCATGGCCCGAAAGGGCAGTGTGAAGAGGTCCCTAATTATAAATTAATAACAATCATCAGTATCATGCTAGAAAATGTTCTTCTATACTGTTGCAAAGAGAAAACACAGGGCGTGGCTTTTTATGCCATGCATCATTGAACTTAAAGAACACGATTTCCAGTGTTTTCCTCTTGAGATGCCGTCCTTTTTGCTAAGCTTCTTGAACCAAAAGGCTAAGTTTCTTGAACGAAAATGTGTTGACTTAGAATAAAGTGGTAATGTGAAAAATGATGCTAGTTTATTTAGGTTATTCATTTGAATGATACAGTTTTGACAGAGAAGTAACTCTGTCAACTTTCAATAACTTAGAAGTATTGTCGAAGGCTTTCGTGGCTGGAATCACTAGGTTCTTGTGGGTTTTTTCGGGCTATAGAGCTATGTTCTAGAGGCATTTCTCCTGACGTTTCGCCTGCATCTATGGCAAGCATCCTCAGAGGTAGTGAGGTCTGTTGGAAGTAGGAAAAATGGGTTTATATATCTGTGGAATGGCTGGGGTGGGGCAAGGAGCTCTTCCCTGCTGCAGTTAGGTGTGAATGTTTAGCTGATCACCTTCATTAGCATTTGAAGGCCTGCCTGAGCCTGGGAAAATCTGTTGCTGGGAGGTGTTAAATGCCTCTAGAACATGGCTCTATAGCCTGAAAAAACCCACAAGAACCTAGTGATTCCAGCCATGAAAGCCTTCGACAATACATTGAACATCTCTACGGGGAGAAACTGTTCCAAGACACAAGGAATTGGAGAAACTAAGGACCAGGAAAGCACATCTACTGTGCTCCCTGACTTTCCTTCTACGCTGCAGAGACACAGATACCATCCCACAATTTCTCGCAGCCAAAAGGACTTTCAAAACACCACAGGCTCATCGGATCTATGACCGCCTAGAACGCAACCTCTTACGAGAGAGAATTCACACCATCCGCAAAGAACTCGCAAACACAGACAAGGAATTGCTGCATCTCCATATCAACATCAGCCAGAAGATGAATTCCCAGGACTGGGACAAAATAGACAACCTCACTTACAGGAAAATGGAGAAAAACATGGCTGTCCACACCAACAGACAAAAACAAAAATTCCACAAACGCCAAAAGCAACAGCCGAAACCAGAACTGGATACATCACGGACCATCATCAACCTGACAGACAGACAACTCTCTGAAGACCAAGTATCCATACTAGCGAAAGGAGGAAACTTTGCTGTAACCGCCACCAGGATCCCAGTAGAAAACATCATTGCCAATGTTGAATCAGCAATTTATCGCCTCCCCGAGGAGGAAGCAGAAGAAGTACGAGCAGAAACAGCAAGGATCCTGAAAAAGGCAAAACTTCCCTCCAGTAACATTACTAGGAAGGAAAGACAAGCCATCAGAGAACTGAATTCAGATCCGGATATCCTCGTTATGCCAGCAGACAAGGGGAATGCCACAGTTATCATGCATACAGAACAATACAAGGAGAAGATCAGAAAACTCCTGGATCCTACTATATATAAAAAACTCAAGCAAGACCCAACTGCCAAAATAACCAAGAAAACCAACACCCTGATTAAGAACTCCTCCATAAACTTTGACATACGACAACAGCTATGTAAATCGGAAGCCCATCCACCCAGGCTTTATGGACTCCCAAAAATCCATAAGGACTCCACCCCACTCAGACCCATCGTGAGTGCCATTGGATCCCCCACATACGACCTAGCAAAATTTCTTGCTGCACAGTTACAAAGCCATATTGGGCTCACTACACACTACATCAAGGACTCAGCCCACTTCATAGAAAAAATCAGCAATCTCAAGCTAAATACAAACGACAAACTGATCAGCTTCGATGTGGTATCTCTATTTACCATGGTCCCGGTAGCAGACACCATGGCACTCATCAACCAGAGGTTCCCAGAAGACATCACGGCTCTGTTTCACCATTGCCTCACCACCAGTTACTTTCAGTGGGACAATGAATTCTACGAACAGAAAGATGGAGTAGCTATGGGGAGCCCTCTCAGCCCGGTCATAGCTAATTCTACATGGAACACTTTGAAGAACAAGCCCTGGAAACAGCAACCAAAAAGCCCACGATATGGTTCAGATATGTGGATGACACCTTCACCATTTGGAGCCATGGAGAAGAAGAACTCAACAGGTTCCTGGACCATCTTAACAGCATCCACCCAAACATCCAGTTCACCATGGAAAAAGAAAATGAAGGAAGACTGCCTTTTCTAGATGTCCTAGTCATCCGCAAACCAGATCAACAATTGGGTCACACCGTCTACAGAAAACCCACACACACAGATAGATATCTACATAAAAACTCCAACCATCACCCAAGTCAAAAAAGAAGCACCATTAAAGCCTTGGCAGACCATGCAAAAAGAATCTGCGAACCCCACCTCCTCCAAGATGAACTGAACCACCTCAACTGGGCTCTCCAGGCCAATGGAGACTCCACCTCAGACATCAGAAGAGCTGCAAGACCAAGAACAAGCCACGAGAGTCAAGATGAAGATCCACCCAGAGGAAAAGTGTTCCTGCCATACATCAAGGGAACCACTGACCATAGGGAAGCTGATGAGGAAACACAACATACAAACAATCTACAAACCCACCAAGAAAATCCAACAAATGCTACGTTCAGCAAAGGACAAGAGGGATCCTCTCACCTCTGCAGGAGTCTACCGTATACCATGCAGCTGTGGACAAGTCTACATAGGGACCACCAAACGCAGCCCCAAACACGAATCAAGGAACATGAAAGGCACTGCAGACTACTTCAACCAGCGAAGTCAGCCATAGCAGAGCACCTGATGAACCAGCCTGGACACAGCATATTATTTGAGAACACAGAAATGCTGGACCAACCAACAACCACCATGTCAGACTACACAGAGAAGCCATTGAAATCCACAAGCATGTGGACAATTTCAACAGAAAGGAAGGAAACCATGAAAATGAACAAAATCTGGCTACCAGTATTAAAAAACTCTAAAATTATAACAGCTAAACAACAGAGAGAAAAAACCAGGCACAGATTAACACCTCCCAGCAACAGATTTTCCCAGACTCAGGCAGGCCTTCAAATGCTAATGAAGGTGATCAGCTAAACATGCACACCTAACTGCAGCAGGGAAGAGCTCCTTGCCCCACCCCAGCCATTCCACAGATATATAAACCCATTTTTCCTACTTCCAACAGACCTCACAACCTCTGAGGATGCTTGCCATAGATGCAGGCGAAACGTCAGGAGAAATGCCTCTCAGAACATGGTTCTATAGCCCGAAAAAACCCACAAGAACCTAACTTAGAAGTATCTATTTGTAACTTTTCTGTAGAATATTCAGTCTTTGTACCTAATGCTTTATTGACGTGTTATTAAAAAGCAATGTCTCTTTGTGGCATTTTTCACATTACCACTTTATTCTAAGTCAACACATTTTGGTTCAAGAAGCTTAGCCTTCAAACAGCACATGGGCAGATCAGAAAGAGAAACAAAGGAAAGGATAAAATCTGAACATGGATTTCAGGAAATATGAAGCAAACAACCAAACAGACACAGTAAAGCAAGGCTGCTATTTATCCCAATAAAACAAGGTTTACAAGAAGGATTCAGTTCTGCATGTTGGTTTTACATTTCATAAAGCTAAATCCAAATCTCCTTTACCTCCATTGACTTCACTGGATAATTATCAAACCAGCACATTGTTCCATATATTTAGCCATTATCTATCATTGCTGATGCTTCAGTTCTGTGATCCAGAGCTCATTTATGAATGACGACTAGCAATATGCCGACACATGTCCTCCATAAAGAGGCCTTTGTCTGCTCATTGTTGTCAGTTAATGCAGAAAGAAATGCTTTAAAAAACCCTCTTCCACCTTCTCTATCTCTAAGTAAAGAGAAAAATCATGACGTTTGCTTACGAGTACATATCCTTTTGCAAATTAGCTTTCTCAACATTCCTTCATATTTTCCATCGCAAGCCTAGATATGATGCTGTCTCGCAACCTGCTGCAGCTTCCAGGACATAATCAATCTATGCCCCTTGTATTCATTAAGCCTGTTGTCTTCACACACAGTCAAACAGCCCAGGCTCCAACACTGCTTAGGCACCTCCGACGAGAGAAC